ACGAAGAAGGAGAAAGGCACGCTCAACCGTCGCGTGAAGAAACGCCGCCCCGCTCTGGGCAGCCCAGTAGTAATGCACTCTGCGACGCGGCCACATTCCCCCCGAAGAACCCTTCATCGCTCCCAATCATCCGGCTCCTCCATGTCAACCATTCTGTCGCAAACCTCTGTCTCCATTCCACCTCATTCATCCTCTCGCCGCTGGTCCTTACAATCACATGCTCCGGACTCGCTGGCAAGCTCTCCTCGGTCCGCATTCCGGACGTCATCGATCTTTGATCGTGTGGAACGTGGCGCTGATTTCTCTGAGCCTACCAGCCCTGAAAGCACCGTGTTCTCTTCGCCTTTGATGCAGGCACGGAATCTGAAGGGTCTTGATATGCCGTTCCGTCCAATCGGTAGCTTTGATAACCACGAAGCACCCGACGACCTATCGACATTTGACGATGATTTTTACAGCCGCCAAGAGTTCTCGAACACAGGTGATAATGTCACAAGAGAGCCTATCCCAGAAGAATCCGAACCATCTCCGTCGGTGGCATACTTCCCTCCTATGGGTGAACCACTGGCGACCACCCAAGATGACATCTTGACCATGCATATACAGTCTTCATCCTTGCGCAGATCTTCTTCTCATGACAGCTTGCTCTCCGTTTCCGTTGCTGGAATGGATATTCATACACCTACCAGTCGCCATAAGCGAATGGGCGACTGGCATCCTGGCATGCGTATTCCTCGGCGTCTCCTGTCACCCAGTGTCGAATTAGTATCAACACCCCCAGTGATCTCAGCCCCGGCCATCACAGCCGATCGTGCAAAAAGCTCAGAGCACACATCCCAGTCATTGCTTGCTTCCATGGCTGCGGGAAATCCCACTAAATCCGACACAGCATCTATTGTATCCGCAGACAGCACCAGCACCGGCTCAACTGCAACCCTTGGACATCATCGTAAAACTACGACGTTGAGTCGCCGCATGGGAGGCTGGGTCCTAGGCCGCTGGGGCATGGCACCTATCTCAACCGATAGTGACTCGCAAGACCCGACAGACTCCCCAAACACATCGGTGGCATCATCACCTCCTATGCCTGTTCCCAACTCCCCTGACCCGCTAGCTCTCCGCTTCAGATACCCAGGCGTGAACCAGAAGGGTCCGATAATGGGCCTGCGGCCTCCGCCTCCTGCTCCGATCTCCATTCATGCACAAAGCATAGACGAAAACCTGCTGCGAGAGAGTCTCGCCGAAGAGCATTGCTAGATTCCTTGCGGTCTAAGTACCTACACATTCATTGTTTTTTTAGCGCCTACACTCGTTTTAATCTTGCATTTATTATTTCTTGTCTTTTTTTACTTTTGCATCCTGCTCTCACAGTTCGGTTGTTGCATTTCTTGGATTCCTGGTTTGGAATGGCGCGAGTCGCGATGATACCCATGCTTTCATCTTTGATTTCCTAGACTTGTCTAGATGATGTACTCTCTGATCCTGTCCATGTTGTATGTTTTACGCGATAGGATCCTTTGGCTTAGACTTCACTTCATTGAGTACCTCAATACCATTGGAGTTTTACCCGTCAACATGATCGATTTGAACAATTTTGCATAGAGTTCCCTCAGTGCTAGTTATGAGCTGTAGCAACAAGTTTCATGCGCTACCTTTCGCATCATTTGCATGGTATCACATTCTCTATTCATACTCATTACCTCGTGATGTTACCGCAGTTCAAGTGGCTGCTCATTTCGCCCGCGAAATCCGATACGTGCGGATTGGGATGCTGGTCGAATGGAAGAAACCCGTCTGGTCTTCTGACGGTGTTGATTCGAACGAGAGGGTTTCAACAGCGAATGAGTTGGTTTCTGTGGATGTTTAGTACTGCACAAGACATGACCATCAGTTGTGTATAAAAACTCAAGACTTACCACAAGCATTCAAGAACGTGCGGAAAGTATCCTCATTGCGCAGGGTTGCAGCAATGATAAACTCTTTGATGTGATAGTTCTCGAAAAGATCCCGCACGGTAGACAGAAGTAAGGGAACAAGGTCGGTATCATAGATCTACATGTAGACATGTAAGCACGAAATCCAAGTAAACCGCCCATAAAGACACCCACCAGATCAGCACCGAGAGCAACATCAAACCTCAGCCCTGTCCCCTCCTCGCCATCATCAGAGTCCAAGCCAGCAAGATCCCCCTCCTTCACCAATGGAGTCCCCCACTCCCAAACAGCAGGATAAATCGGAATAGACTCCTGCCCGTTCAAATTATGCTTGACACAGTCACGAATATTATCAATGAGCATGGGCTCACGATCAGTAACAACAACAGAATGTACACCAAGATGGCGTGCACAAACTAGAGACAAGAAGCCCGTGCCAGCGCCCAATTCGATAACTCGTTTACCGCGCACAAGAGCCTCGCCCGCCCCGGACGCCAGGAACGAACCGAGGTGCAGGGCAGCCTCCCACGTCCGGTTGCCGGTAGTTCCAGCGGACAGAATTAAGCCGCGGGACTCAGAGGTCGTGACAGTGCGCTCCAGCCAGGTCCCCGCGCTGGATGTTGGCGCTGTGTACTTGACCAAAGACAGCTGCTGCGCTTGCTGCAGAGCTGAGGGTTTCGGCTGCGAGACTAGTGTGCTCCAGCTTTCCATGAGATCATCGTTGATCTCCTGTTTTCACGGGTGGAGGGAAGAGGTTAGATAGGTTGAATCAAGGAATATAAAAAGTGGATTTTGCATTGGTGTGAGGTGGAAGTATATGGGATACAAAGAGGAAAAGATAGGAAATGAAAAATGAAAAATGAAAAATGAAAAATGAAAAATGAAAAATGAAAAATGAAAATGCAGAGTAGAAGGATTTAAACAGATGGGTTGGCCTACATCCTCCTCAGGGTTGGTAATTGATTCCTCAATGCGCGAGAGAATCTGTTTCAGCACTCGGCTTCGGTAGCTGTCTGGTGGGATGGGGAAGACTGCATTTTCGTTGAACATGCGCTCGTACAAGGCTGCTTGCACGGCTGGTTGGATGAGCACAAGGCCTGGTGGGAGGGCCAAGTTCTGCAGCTCAACCAGCTGGAAATATTGTGCCGTTAATTTATGAATAGAGTCGGTCATGGTTGCTGGGATTTGAACATAGTAATGAATTTGATATTGCAGATCAATGCGACAGATATCATTGGAGCCCCGGCGAAAAGAGTGGATGAGTCAGGAATGATATAAGCAAGGGCTGATCAACACTTTATGCCTCAGGCACACACATAACTTAGTCATCTGGCCTGAGGCATACAACCCAAATAGGCTAGCGTCTACCCTAGCCGAGCCCACACCACACGAAAATTGAAAGTTCGACATCCTCAGTGACCCCGTCGACACTTCCTCCATCCAACGCACACACCAAAATGGCCGACACTCCCGTCACTCTGCGGACTCGCAAGTTCATCCGCAACCCTCTGCTTGCCCGCAAGCAGATGGTCGTGTAAGAACCCCCCTGATTTTCCCCCTCGTTTTGGATCTGTGTGTGGGAAATGCATCGCAGGCGCGCAACATGGAAATTCGACAACCACCCAGCATAAAGAGAAAGAGAAAGAGGAATACAATCGGAACATCGCAACACACACAGAAACAATCATCGAAACACCAAAAAACCCCGATCTGACATCTTTTCGCGAATATCTAGGGACGTCCTCCACCCCAACCGCCCCAACGTCTCCAAGGACGAGCTCCGTGAGAAGCTGGCCGATCTGTACAAGTCCAACAAGGACCAGGTCTCCGTCTTCGGTTTCCGCACACAGTACGGTGGTGGCAAGAGCACCGGCTTCGCTCTGGTCTACGACTCCTCCGAGGCCCTTAAGAAGTTCGAGCCCCACTACCGTCTCGTTCGCATTGGTGCCGCCAGCAAGATCGAGAAGGCTTCCCGCCAGCAGCGTATGTTCCTCTCGTCCCGACGATTATCAATCGCAAAACATCATGTTGTTCCTCCTTTGCTAACCCCTTTCCCCCTACAGGCAAGCAACGGAAGAACCGCTCCAAGAAGTTCCGCGGTATCGCCAAGGTCAAGGGCCCCAAGAAGAACAAGGATTAAACGCCTCATCTGTAACTATTCGCACGATACAACATGGACCGATGATGCGGCATGGCGCGATGGGAAAGATTATGGCGGTGACGGCTTTGGCTCTGGAGTTACCCACCTGGGTTTGGCTTGTCTGGACTTAGGTGCGGTCGGTCGTGTGTGGGGGGGGGTGGTATATCTTCCTTTTCAGCGAACATCAGACTAAAACCCAAAATGATGCCCGTTGATTGGTGAAGATCGTGGACGGATACTCTTTTTTCTTCCTGTGCTTGTTGGAGCTGATGATTCCCAAGAAAAAAAAAAGACCTGGCGATCCCCATGGAAATTTTTAAACAGGGCGTCAGTGTTGTGGTTCTTTGTGTGTATGTTTTTTTTGGGGAGGGGGATCATCAGTCTCCGTGAAGACGGCCGGGGTTATGAGAATCCGGGCTTCGGCTGTTTGCCCGGGATGAAATTACATTTTACTTGTTTCTCTTCACCTGGTCTGGCGGTCTTGTAGACTGTACTTGTACATTTGTACGTTTGTATGGCCATGTCTGGATCTGTAGTTGGATCTGGAGACTGAAGACCCCCTTGCGGCGTAGTCTAGGCTCAGTCTTCATCAAGCCATGCCCCTCCATGCTCTATGTTTCAATGCGGAGTGTTCCCAAGGCCATACCATGTCATCGTACAACAGAAGCATGTCTTAACTCGATTGATGTAACCATTAGCCCTCTTCTTGCCTATATCAGAAGGCCAAGTATGTAGTGGAGCCTGTTGACAGTATCCGCGTCCAGTTGATTCAACTGTGCCACTATATCAATACATGAAACCAAAGAGAGTGAAATGATCACGCTACCCCCTTCACCAAAAACCCGATCTGATCCTCTAAGAACCCCTCTATCATAGCCGATCCATTCCCCCGTTCAAGCGGGTATTTTATAGAACAAGTGGAGTATTCAACACTTCCGACACCGAGACCAAGACCAATGCGTCATGGCATTAGATACCCAGGGGGCATAGTAGTACTGGGGTATCATCACATTGCTTCCTCCAGTTATCGCTCTATTCATCCACCCATGCAGCATACAACTCCCGCACACAGGTCGGGAACGAAACGAGTTCTTCGTCTGACTCGGTGTATCCTTGCTCATCTTCCCTAATATCCTCAACGGCTCGTCAGAGGAAGTCGGTTCCGTATTCTGGGAATATGCCGTAGTGTCGAGGTGGGGATGGTGGCTCAGGCTTGGGGTTCAATTGTTATCTCAACTGCCAAGTCATCGGGCTCGGTTGTGATTGAGTCTCCTGTCTAGAAGAAACACTAACGGCCATAATGTGAGCGATTGGTTCTAATTTTCGGAAAACAAAATTATCCGAGGTGCAAGCATGTTAATAAAGTTCCTTTGTATTCCGAGATGAAATTCGGAAAATATATAAAGCACGATGTTACATACTCGAAAATTATTGCCTGAGGCGTTAAAGCCCTAATTCAGAGTGCAAACTCATATTATACCTGTAAATGTTGCAGCTGATCATTGCCCGAGCAATCCAACGCTAAAATCTGATTAGTTGTATTGATTTTTATAATCCTGGCGTAACTTCGTCCAGATGTGTAGAGTGAGCAAAAGACGTAGTGTCTGCCGTTCTGACAACGATCCAACCCTTCTACAGCTAACCCAGCTAACAGCAAACTAGTCACTCCATCCGACTAAAAAAAGGAATAACACGAAGTACAATGCAGGAACCAACTTCCCAAACCAAACCATGAACATCTTACATGACAAGTCCTCGAAGCAACGGAATCTAACCGGGAGGGCCTGTGTAAGTAATTCCCTCGGGTTGGATCGCCTGTACGATGGATAGCAGATTACACAATCTAGAACAAATTCAATTCCACGTGGAACTTGTTCCATCGGGAAACTGGTCTTCTGATTGGATATGCAGATACATGTCTGTTACCGTAGGATTTCCGGCAGCCAAGTACCCGGACACAGCCATGTCAGGGTTGTATACGGCATGGCGGGTTGGATCATTGTATCACTGCATCCTAGTTCAGGGTGGAAGTCAGGCATCCGGCGATGTACAAATTTGTGTGCTACTTTCTGGTTGATTGGAAGAATCTCCGGTGTTGGTCGGGGAGTGCAAGGCACATGGTCAGCCGTAGTCTGTGTTTGGGACCATTGGGGGTGGATGGAATACACGGGAATGGTGTTTATGATATGTATTGTATTATTTGGGATATGGTTGGTGACTGCGAGGTTGTACTTGAGTGCTGGATTGAGATATAAATACTTGCAGTAAGGCCGGATGGAGTAAATATGTAAAAGACATTACTTTCAGATAGGGCCGTACAGGGCGAATAGCAACCCTCCACGCTTTAGAGAGTAGGAAACAGAAGACTATAATCAACAAGTTCTCCCAGGTCATCTGTCTGTTGATGGTGCCGAGACACAAATATCACATATCACAGACAGACCTGAGAGTTCTTCATAGTAACAATAGGAAATAAGACATTCCACTAACTCGAGAGTAGAGACACATGGGATGAAAAAAAAAGCATGCATTTGGAACAAACACAAAACCACAGATATAGATCACTGCATAAAGCCACACTGGGGTATTAGGAAGTAATCTAGATGGATGGGTGTGAAAGGATGGGCACAATCCTCATCATAGTCCATTAGAAATTTTTTCTCTTTTGGATGAGCATAAACAGACAGAAAAAGATAAATGAGCAATAAATCAAAACAGTACCGAATAAACAGCAAAAGATCAAAAACGAACAAAAACATAAACAGACATGAGAAGACATTACATGGGCAGAATAAAGGCAGATGTAAACGGCCTTGATATGGGTATCTCTTTTGTGTACCTTGTGGGAAAGAAAGAAACCAAGCAAGAGACCAACCAGGGAAAAAAAAAAAAATCGAGAAGACCAAAGAATCAAAACCTAAAATTCCGACAGGGTAGATAAACGCCTCGTGTGCGATACAACGACACCAAGGCAGACCAAAGTCAACTCAATACGCCCCTTGGTGTCCCAAGGACGAAATAGGACGATGCAAACTATCAACCGAACGCCCATAATCAGACAAGTTATCAGGCAAAAATCCATACGGCAAACCAACCGCCGAGTCTGCATGTCGAACACGCGTATAGGGTAACCCATTAATAAGAGTCAGGGCCGAGCAGCGCAAATCCGTCTCGACAACGGCCCTGGATCTCCTGCGCTCACTACCGGAATACCCATACACATCAGGTGCGCAATCGGAAGCCAGCGCAAGTAGACGCTGTCCGGCGCCGCTGTCGCGCGAGAAAGTGCGTCCTAGACGTGCATCGGACGTGTTGTACTCACCCAAGGTGTTCTCTATCGTATCCAGAGCTGGGTAAGGGGGGTTTGCAGCGGAGGAGGCCATGGAGGATGAGGATGATGGAGGAAGAGGGGAGGAATCATCTGCTGTAGCCATAGGGTAGCCAAAGACGAGATCGGGTGTGCCGTCGTCTGAATCGTTTGATTTGACGCGTGCTGAAGGGCTGATATTGTAGAGACCGTTGCTTGGGACGGTGGACATGGTCACCGTGCGGCCATCTGGGGAAGTTGCGTGCCGCGAGTTCCAGCCCTGGCCCTTTCCGTCAGTGGCTAGAGTCATGCCCGAGGGGCCGTCTGGGAGGGTTGAGAGGTTTATGTGTGACTGGGGCTGGGGTTGGCTTCGGCAGGTTGGGGGTGTTGGGAGAGTGCGATCTACGGCGTCGGTGTACGACGTTGTCATTGCACCTGTTGACTGGGGCATTTCGGTGGACATGCCTTGGCCGGGGAGGACGAAGTCATATGCAGCTTGGTTCAGGTTGCTGTTTGGTTCTTCGAAGAACTCGCCGTTGGGTCTGCCGTTGGGATCCCAGGCCCGGTTGCCCCATGCGGTGCCATAGTCGAGCATTGCTCCAGGAGTGCTGGACAGCATGTACCCTGGCGATGTCTGACCATGGTAATTGGCGGAATGGTCGTCATAGGAGTGATCCATGCCGACGGGTTGCCGTGAGAAGTTAGACTGGATATCCAGCTCATACTCTTCTCGCTGGTATAAAGCTCGCATTTGAGGGGATTCCATGAGGATTGACCTTCCGTAACCCTTATTTGCATAGAGCCTAGCTGCTTCTCTAGCAGCGTCTTCGGGGGCCAAAGAGTTGACCTACGGAGCAAAGAAACTAGGTCAGTGTGACTCTTCGCTGTGGATGTGGGATCCAAGCTTACTCGTATGTATTGGCATTCGGTAGCTCCAACACCACGGCAGCTGGAGCAAGCCAGGCCAGTGTTGAGGTCACCATTGCACTTGATTTTTCTCTTCCGGCATCGATTGCACTAGTAGAAGTTAGAAATTGCCGGGCAAGATGGAGAGAGATCCTTACTGCAACTAGGGCTCGCTTTCTCTGTTTCCGCGGCTTGTCATCTCGCTCTACAAGACTGCGCTCCTGCTTGGCCACACGCATTGATCGAGACATAGAAATGGTTGAGTTATGTCGGGCTTCTAGTTCCGAGAGGTTGGCGTATGTGTGATCCATGTTGCAAAGAACAATAGCCCGGGTGGATTCACTGTTCAGCGAAGAGATCGAAAAGGAAAGTTCCTGTGAATGCCTATAAGTCGCTGCGAAGAAAGTAGAAAATGAAGGATGTCACTGAGAAATAGGGCTAGATTTAAGCCATGTTTTGGTAACAATCGGTGTGATTGATTGCCTTCTTTTTTTTTTTCTTTATAAAATTATAGACATGCGATATCTTTGCCCCCTGCTTTTTTTTTTCTCTCTACAATTTATTATATTCTATACTGTATGTTTAGATCTAGAGAAGAGAGACGACATACACAGTACCCAAGGCCAAAAGTACCCTGGACCTAGCTTTCCTTTCTTTTTCTTTTGCTTTTTTCCCTCCTTATTTCTTATTTCTTATATTAACTTCTATTTTTCCCAAGGGGAAATGATATGCAAAGTTCCGTATGCCCAGATTCCCCCAATTGCCATATAAGACAGAAAATGCGTTTTAAAAAGAGGTTTCACAAGGTAACGTCACACGGCCATGACGAGAACAGGAGATGAAACACTCGTAAGTTTCTTTTTCTGTAAAGAGTATCAAGAACTTGGTGTATCTCAAGATCTTCCAGATAAAAAAAAAACGGGCAACTGCCGAGCCACTGTTTGCAGAAACATGACGATCCGCGGGGGAGTATGACCGACGTCCGTAAATGTTTGCTCGATAGTTCTGGCGAATAGCTGCAGGCCAAAATAGTCCGAACGTTTCTTAACTCGGTGTCGAGTGTTATCTTGCAAACGCACGGTCTTCTAGAGAAATAATTTTTTAAAAAAAAGCAAACGCCTGTCTCATGCTTCAAATGTCTCAATAGAGAAAGAGAAGAGAAAAAAAAAAAAATTATAAATTCTCTCATGACACCTGTCACTTTGACAAGCGCACGAGTTGACTTCCCCGGGCCAAGCGCGCTCTAGAAAAAAGCCTTCCAGGGATCAACGATCTAATGATCGACGACAAGGGTGTCGACCCAGCGTTCTTTAGCGCTTCCGGTACGCAACTAGATCGAAATGGAAAGGGGAAAAAAGCAAATCAAGTCCATAAAATGAGAATGGGATATAGCGCTTACCCATTATATGGAGTACTCCGTATTGTGTCATTCATACCAGATCTCGATCACGATCGACGCTAAAGGCTAAAAGGGGGAATCTAGAAGTGACCGAGATGCATGAACTTCGGGGATACTTACAAGGTTCGCACATTACTTGGAGCTAATGTGGAGTGAAGTTGGTTTCGCGTTACAGTAGGACATGGGGCAAAGTGCTAGAAGGGAGTTCCTCCATGATTAGTATAATAACTCTTATTCCAATGTAGTCATGCCCCTTCAGACAGTGTCAGGACACGAGACACATGGAGAAAGAAAAGAGAAACCAAGTAGTGGGGAAGGCAATCAAAGTCTGAGTTTCAAATACAATCTAGACGACCATAGAGTCTCTGGCAAGTATTTAGACATGTGCAGTTCAAAGTTTGACGATGCACAACATTCGGGGGGAAGTAGGAATGGAGAAGAATCAGGAGAAACAAAAAAAAAAGAGCCCTGCTACGCCAGCTGACTCTGAGTTGACTCGCCAGGAACACATGTTGGGATTGAGACTGGCTTTTGTTGCAGACGATACGGTGGAGGCAACCCCTGGCTGCTGACCGGTACTTGCCTAGATAGAGGTCAAGCAAGAGGCTCAGGATTGATCATCTCCCATCCCACGTGTGTGGCTCTTTTCCAAAAAGTTAAGTCGGTGGTGATGATACCCGTTGGATCCTGCTGCAGGAGGCCGCCCGTTTCCCTCTTCCCAACGTTTCTGTTGTGGAACAGCTCACGGGGGCAATATGGGCGTCCAAGCAAAGGAGGACCGTGTACTTCCCATGGAAGACACCATGATCTGTTAGTGGGGAGAAGTCGAAACGGTACAGGGCTCAAGGGTTAGATGATCTCGAACTGCCAAGAAGAGATGCTTTTGGCTGGGGCTGCTGCTGCATGAGGGATATAAGCACACAAACAGTTCGAACTTGGAATCCCAGGGTCGATCAAGGCCCTTCATAAGATCCGCTGCATGTCGATATCAAAAGCGTAAAGTTATGTGTCCAACGGGGACATTCGGAAGATATGCCGCTCGATTGACAAGTACCGTTGCACAAGTCTCCCGGGTCGATCATCCGGCAGAGCCCTAGAGCTGTTGCGCAGCACGTACCCATTAAAAAGAATATCATTTTCTATTTGTGGGTAAAAATAGGGAGAGAGAGTGAGAGTAAAAAAAGAAATAGAGGCTCAGGTTCTCTCCGGTTGGGGGTCCCCGCGGGCGGTCATTGGTCGAAGCTCCGATCTTTTGCACTGGCGCATTGCTCGTGACTTTCACTCCGTCTCTCTCTATCTACTATCTATTGCCTCTCTCCCTTATTACCATTGGTCCAAGGTCCAAGCGCCTAATTCGGTGTTGTCTTTTGCGCGATTCCCCGCCATGAGCGTGCTTTTAGAGACCTCCCTGGGCGACATCGTAATTGACCTGTTGGTCGACGATGCACCCAAGGCGTGTGACAAGTGAGTGGCTCCGTTCCTTGGCTTTCCCCAGTCTGCTGAAACCTGAAACTAAGCTCATTTTGTGTGCTTTTAGCTTCTTGAAGCTATGCAAGCTCAAGTACTACAATTTTTCGCCCATCCACAGCGTCCAAAAGAATTTCACCTTCCAAACCGGCGACCCGCTTGGCCCTGACGCACCCGAGAGTGATGGAGGATCTTCAGTATGGGGTCTGCTGGACGGACCGTCGAAACGAACATTCCCACTCCAGGTGTCGCGCAAGTTGAAACACTTGGAACGCGGTACGGTGAGCATGGCGACAGTGCCGGCCAAGAACGACCCCGACCAACGGATAGCCGCCAGTCAATTCATCATTACACTTGGAGACAATCTGGATTATTTAGATGGCAAGGCCGTGATTTTCGGCAAGGTTGTCGAGGGCTTCGACGTTCTGGAAAAAATCAATGACTCTTTTATTGACGACAAAGGTCGACCGCTGAAGGACATTCGCATTCGTCACACCACTGTCCTTGACGATCCCTTTGATGACCCGCCAAATCTGGTTGAACCACCTGAAAGCCCGCTACCCTCCAAAGCCCAATTGGCCACGGTCAGAATCGCGGACGATGAGGACTTGGATGATGACATGGATGAAGAGGCTATGGACAAGCTCCGTCGTGAGCGCGAGGCTCGCGCGCAGGCGCTGACATTGGAAATGGTGGGAGATCTGCCATTCGCCGACGTCAAACCGCCAGAGAATATTCTTTTTGTTTGCAAGCTCAACCCGGTCACACAAGGTTGGCATTCCCCCACAGCAATCATGAGAATGGTGCTAACCAATACTAGATGAGGATCTGAATCTGATTTTCAGCCGCTTTGGAAAGATCTTGTCTTGCGAGGTCATTCGGGACAAGCGCACTGGCGACAGTCTACAGTATGCCTTTATTGAATTCGAGGAACAGAAGGACTGTGAACAGGCCTATTTCAAGATGCAGGGTGTTTTAATTGATGACCACCGGATCCATGTGGATTTCTCACAGAGTGTGAGAGCTCCTCATCACTATTGCCTAGACCAATATGCTAATATCTATTTCAGGTATCCAAATTATCCGAAAGCTGGCGCAATTCTACTGTCACCAAGCGCCGACAGAGAGGTGGATTTGGTGGTGTTGAGGATCTCGAAGCGAAACGCCAGTACCGAGAGCTGGATGACGCGCCTGTTTATGAAGATGATCCTAGATATGGGATGATGTTTGACAAGAACAAGAAAAGGGGCGCTCCAGCTCCGCCCCGCGAGGCTCCGCGGGAGGCCCCGTCAGATCGTACTCGCGTTCGAGATCGAGCAAGTCGAAGCCCTCGTCGAGATAGAGATCGAAACCGTCGATATAGTCGGAGTCGGAGTCCACGACGAGATTCACGGAGAGAAGGCCGTTACCGACGATAGTCTGTATATTGTACAAAAATATCCTATTTCAAATATATCCCCCTATTCTCAAATAAATAACTTGAACATATCCACTCGAACTTCGCCCCCCCCGGTAGGCCAAGGCCCCGCTATGACTAGCGCAATAAATTCCAGTGGGCAGGTCTCAGATGGCGCTCGCTAGCCACTTTCTTGTATGGATAGCTCATTATTACTCGCCTCTGCAGATCCCTAAAAATAAACTGGAGCCCGCTAGGTTCCTAACAGTAGTAGTAGTGAGAGATATATTAAACTGGAGCACCTTTTACCGTGTGTACTTTACCCAAGGTTTTTTTAAGGTACTTATTCAGCTTGAGCTTCACCCCACGTTTTCCATTTTTCTATTTACTTTTCTCCTTTTCTCTCTCTACTTCCTATTACTCTCTCTTCTTTTTCCATCACAAACATTCAAAATGGCAAGCGCAATTAAAGATGCTGTCTCCAATGTTCTTGGAAAATTCCAGGGCATCACTGCAGAGGTTCCTCGTGAACCATCAGTGGAGGAGTTCCAAACACTACAAAAGAAATACACAGACGCTGGACAAGGCCATGTCTTTACCTTTGTCGACGAATTGACCACCGTCGAGAAGTCACAGCTCTTCCACCAGCTGTCCAACTTCGACCCCACTCGGATCAACGAGCTGGCCGACAAGGCTCTCAACCCTCCTCCGGTCTCAGAGGGCACCGCGACCCTCGAGCCCCTCCCCGAAGTCGCCACAGCCTCCATCCTCGACTCCGACCCCTCAGATATTCAGAAATGGTATGAAGCCGGCCTGAAGGAGGTGGCGGCGAACAAGGTGGCCGTGGTCTTGATGGCTGGTGGGCAGGGTACCCGGCTCGGTAGTTCTGCCCCCAAAGGCTGCTTTGACATTGGTCTCTTGAGCGAGAAATCGCTCTTCCAGCTGCAGGCTGAGCGAATTGCCAAGCTGCAGTCTCTCATCGGCGGTAAGAACGTGGTCATCCCCTGGTACGTCATGACCAGTGGGCCTACGCGCAAGCCCACCGAGGAGTTCTTTGAGAAGAACAATTATTTCGGTCTTGACAAGAGCAATATTATGATCTTCGAGCAGGGTGTTCTGCCTTGTATCTCCAATGATGGCAAGATTCTGCTCGAGAGTAAGGGCAAGGTATGTAATATATACGGCGCTGTAGCTCCAACACTTAAAGAGATTTGTTGACCCCCGAGTATAGATCGCCGTGGCTCCTGATGGAAACGGTGGCATCTACCAGGGACTTGTGGTCTCCGGTGTGCGGGAGGACATGCGCCGCCGTGGTATCGAGCACATCCACCTCTACGGAGTGGACAACTGCCTAGTCAAGGTAGCCGACCCGGTATTCATTGGCTTTGCGGCCTCCAAGAACGTCGATATCGCAACCAAGGTGGTGCGCAAGCGCAATGCCACCGAGTCCGTAGGCTTGATCCTGTTGAAGAACGGCAAGCCCGACGTGGTCGAGTACTCTGAGATTGACCAGGAGACTGCCGAGGCCAAGGACCCCAAGCAGCCCGATGTCCTCAAGTACCGTGCTGCCAACATTGTCAACCACTACTACTCCTTCCGGTTCCTCGAGTCGATCGAGAACTGGGCTCACCAGCTCCCCCACCACGTGGCGCGCAAGAAGATTGCCTGTGTCAATACCGAGACTGGTAACATTGTCAAGCCTGAGAAGCCTAACGGCATCAAGCTGGAGCAGTTCGTCTTCGACGTGTTCCCCATGACACCGCTGGACAAGTTCGCTACCCTTGAGGTGCACCGTCACGATGAGTTCTCGCCTTTGAAGAACGCCCGTGGCACTGGTGAGGATGACCCTGATACCAGCCGTGCGGATATCATGGCCCAAGGTCAGCGGTGGGTTGAGGCTGCTGGTGGTATTGTTATTACCGATGGCGAGGCCGTTGGCGTTGAAGTTTCTCCTCTGATCAGCTATGTATGTCTCTTTCTCTATCTCATCTCTGGCCTCTTAACTAACATATATAGGGCGGTGAAAACCTAGAATTCCTCAAGGGACGGGAAATTAAGGCACCGGCTATCCTGGAGCGGGAAGAGTAGATTAAATGGGCTAACCAGTCGGATCTCACGGAGATCTCGTTGGAACGAAGAAATGAATTGCATTGTGACACTTTTTGGAGAATGGATCTACTTGTAGGAATGTAGGGATAAGAATTCAAGTCAAAATATTAACATTCACTATTCTATACTATACTCGAATATATATTATACAGTAAAACGCCTTACGCAATACGGAAAAGCCCGGGAGCTAAATCCGGAGTTTGACCTTTTTCCACTTTTTTCTCTCTTCTGTGCATTTTCTGAAAAACGAAGTTGGAGCTGTTGAGAAGAGGTTATTGAAGTTGTTGAGAGTACGTATATTCTGTTCCTCTTTGTCTTTTGCTTTTTCTGGACTTTTTTTTTCTTTTTCTGTGTGGTTTCCCCTCGTGTCCCACTTTTTTTTCTCAAGTGGGCTGTCAAGAACGTGCCTTTTCTCCAAAGGTTCTCAAAAAGCTGACGAAGGTAGACATTTGACATTTGAAGAGTTACTGTGAGGGTGAGTGAAGGTGTTTTGTTCGTGTTTCGCCATTTGAGCTCGTTCTCCCCCCCTCCCGCCGATCTACGTCTTCCCCCTCTTTCGCTTGAAATTTTTGAGATCGCAATGCGATTGTGCTGGGACTACATCGGACACAATATACACTAGAATTGCAGTCGCAGCACCAGGCACACGATCATACAATTCGACAATTCCGGCAATGGAGGGGGAAAGATGCGGCTCACGGAGCTATACCAAACCATAACCCCGAGCTCGGGCTGACTTGCGATGGATAGATTACCGCCAGAATGATGTTGTCTCGTCGCGCATGCTACAAGTGTGGCACTATTGGCCACTATGCTGGTTAGTATAGCTGGAAGCTTGGAACATCTGGGGTCAAAACTAATTCCTCGCTAGAGGTCTGCTCCTCCACTGAGCGTCTCTGCTACAACTGTGCGTGAATATCTCCCCGAGAGCTCATACTCTTAACTGACTGTATGCTAATTTATTCTCATCTCATAGGCAAGCAGCCTGGTATGTTCGATCATGAGTCATAGTACTCAAAATAAGCTTCTAAGTTATCATATAGGCCACGAGTCGAGCGCCTGCCCTCTGCCCCGTACCACCGAGAGTAAGCGATCACTCAATATCAACTCTCACCATTCCAGGTTGCTAACAACCATCCAGCCAAGCAGTGCTACAACTGCCAGGGTCTCGGCCACGTCCAGGCTGACTGCCCCACCCTGCGCCTGAACGGCGGTGCCAACGGTCGCTGCTACAACTGCAGCCAGCCCGGTCACCTTGCCGTAAGTGTTTCAACCTCCAAGCTCAGGTCTTGAACCTTTGAACCAGTTACTAAAAGCACATTCCAGCGCAATTGCACCAACCCCACTGCTCCCGGAGCTGGTGCTCCTCCTACCGGTCCCGCCGCTGGCCGCGGCGCCGGTGGTGCTCGCGGTGGTTTCCAGGGTGGCTTCCGCGGTGGATTCAGCGGATACCCCCGTGCCGCTACCTGCTACAAGTGCGGTGGTCCCAACCACTTCGCTCGTGACTGCCAGGCTCAGGCCATGAAGTGCTACGCCTGTGGCAAGCTCGGCCACATCTCGCGTGATTGCACCGCACCCAACGGTGGTCCCCTCAGCTCCGCCGGTAAGGTCTGCTACAAGTGCGCCCAGGCTGGCCACATCTCCCGCGACTGCCCTACCAACGAGGGTGCCGCTGCTCCCGCTGCTCCCGTCGAGGCTGTCCCCGTTGCCACTGCCCCCGCTGTGGCTGCTGCCCCTGCTGCCGTCGCTGCTGAGACTGCCCCTGAGGCTAACACTGTCCCTGCTGCGGCTCCTACCACTGCCGTCGCTTAAGCGTGTTAGGCCCTATCTCTCCACCGCGCATCCGCCATTGGAGGAATGCTTGGGGTTCCTTTTCTTCCTTGATTCTGTATTATGGTCACTTTCCCCTAAACCTCTCCGCCATTTCTTCCTTTGCATATATTTAAATCACACCCTCTGTTTTGGGGAACGGGTCTGGTTCTGGACCTGACAAAAACAACAGCTTTTGATTTCCCTTATTTCCCCCCTTTTGGAACTTGTTCTTTTTTTTACTTATTTTTTTTTTATCCCTATCATGTATACGACGAACAAACAGAAAAAGTTCTTTTTGGTTTTGTTTTTCGAGTCACCCTTGACTTGACTTTCTCAAGTCTTATGATTGGCGTCTATTCTCATGGATTATCTTTCTTGGTTTTCGATCGAATCTCGGTTGCGGTTTTCCCGAATGGGGCCAAAGAGAGAACGAGGAGATGAAGTGTGGCAATGAGAGGATCTGTTGAAGCTGAGGGGAATTGAGTTCGGGCCGTTGCAACTGTGGAAAGAAAGAGGACTTCCAGATGGGAAGAGTCCTGAGAACGTTTCGAGCTAAAGAAGAAATATCTCAATTATCTTGTTTCGTGTAGTGTATGTATAGATGTGATGTGCTCAGTGCTTAGTAGCTGAACCCGTGACCCTGAACACCCAAGTTGAGTCTCCCTTCACATCTCTTGTTCACTCTATATTCTCCCCCATCATCCATCTTCCACATAGCCATCTCCAATTGATCTTGTCAAGATGCCGGGCTCGATTGGAAGCGATGAATTCGACGACGACGAGGTACAATAACTCCCCATCCCCACGCCTTGGAGCTGCCAATCTAACCAGAGCGAATTGCAGAGCTTCATTCTGGATATCGACGGTATACAAGCCCATGGCATTGGTGCAGCCGACATCACTAAGCTAAAGACCAACGGATTCTACACGATTGCTGTCAGTGCCTTAGCCCTAACCACCTCGTCTCCAAGCATAATCCAAGTCTATGCCATCTCCCAACAAACCTAACCACTCATCCAGTCCGTCCACGGCGCCACCCGAAAAACCCTTCTCAAAATCAAAGGATTCAGCGAAGTCAAGGTCGAGAAAATCAAAGAGGCAATTCAAAAATGCCTTCCCGCAGCCTCGGGTTTCGTCACAGCAATGGAACTCCATCATCAACGTAAGAAAGTCGTCCGCATCTCAACCGGTAGCAAGCAATTTGACTCCATCCTCAATGGGTAAGTACAATATACCCCACCCCCAAAGCCACCAGTCAAGCCCATCTAACATCTCACCAGCGGCTTCCAAAGCATGAGCATCAGCGAAGTCTTCGGCGAATTCCGCTGTGGCAAAACACAACTCTCGCACACAATGTCCGTAGTCGCCCAACTACCGAAGGAAGCAGGCGGGGCAGCTGGCAGAGTTGCCTACATCGACACAGAGGGCACATTCCGACCCGAGCGCATTGCTCAAATTGCCGAACGGTTCGGAATGGACCCCGACACGGCGCAAGAGAATATTTCCTACGCGCGCGCACTGAACAGCGAGCACCAGTTCGAGCTGCTGAATACACTTTCTCAGGCATTTGCGGGTGGCGAGTATCGATTGCTTGTTATTGATAGTATTATGAACTGTTTTCGTGTTGATTATTGCGGTCGTGGGGAGTTGGCGGATCGGCAACAGAAATTGAATCAGTTTTTGATGAAGCTAGCGCATATGGCTGAAGGTAAGATTTATTATTTTGTGTCTTTGTGTAAATGCTTTGGCTGATTTGGTGCGACTTGCAGAGTTTAATGTTTGTGTCTTGATGGTGAGTGAAATCTTATGTGATTCGAGGTATTGGGGCTCACATCCCGGTTCAGACAAACCAGGTCCAGAGTGACCCTGGTGCTAGTGCTCTCTTCGCTGGAGCTGATGGTCGCAAGCCGGTTGGTGGTCATGTTCTTGCTCATGCTTCCACTACTCGTGTGCTCCTTCGGAAGGGTCGTGGTGATGAGCGAGTTGCGAAGATCCAGGATTCTCCTGGTGAGTACTTCGATATATTCCGAAATTTATCACTGCTCTAACTCCTATTAAGACTGCGCTGAGCGTGAGGCAATCTATGTTATTACCAATGGAGGGATCAATGATCCTGACAAGGCTTGAAGGTGGGTGGGATGGTCGATGGAAATGCTTTGCAGTCACGATTTTCATGATGTATCGGGTTTTATGCTGCAACTACCTTATACAATTAGTTAATTTATATGATAAATAATAGGTTAGAATACCAAAAGGCTCTAGTCATGCTCATGTCGATGTAGTCGAAGCCCTAAGTATGAAGTTCACCGCCTACACCGCCGCTCCGGCACCCCGGCAAAATTCTGTGCCAAGAGCAAATCTGCAGAAAAAGTTCAGCTCAATCAACGCAACAATCCGGCAATCAAACCTTCATTCAAAATGAAGGGCGAATCCGTGCAGGTGGAAGGGTACATTACCCTGCCAGTGCAGCTTCCAACAACCCCTCTCTTCCCCAAACCCGCAACACACTACCTCTACCTCCGACCACACGAGCCCCGAATCCCAGACCCAGATTCCACCCGCTCCCTCTTCATCGTCAATGTCCCAATCGACACCACAGAAGCGCACCTCCGTCACCTCTTCGGCACGCAACTCGCCGCAGGCCGCGTAGAAAGAGTCCAATTTGAAGATGTGCAGACCAAAAAGCGCGCCGCGGCAACAACGACAGAAACCAACCTAACTCAATCCAAAAAGAAACGCAAGCGCGTAACCGCCGACGACTTTGAACGCCACCTAGATGAAATCACCCTCCCATCAACCTGGGATCGCAAACTCCACAAGAGCGGCGGTCACGCAGTTGTCATCTTCGCCGACAAGCCTAGCATGGAAACCAGTCTGAAAGCCGCCACCAAGGCCTCTAGGCGCGGTACCACCATCGTCTGGGGCGAAGGTCTGCCCACAGACCGCATCCCCGTCCTCGGACTGAACCGGTACGTCGCGCACGAGCGCATGCAGTACCCCGATCGGGGGACATTGCTGCGGGCGGTGAATGAGTTCATGACTACGTTCACGCAAGTGGCTGAGACGCGCAAGCGCGAGGATCACAAGCGTCTTGCTGTGCCGGACGAGGATGGATTCGTTACTGTTTCGCATGGACCTAAGTTGAATTCTGTGGCGCGTGAGGATGAGATGAAGGAGCTTGTTGAGAAGCAGAAGAAGAAGGGTGTGGGACTCGAGGACTTTTATCGATTCCAGTCTAGGGAGAAGAGGAAGGAGAGACAGAACCAGTTGCTTAGGCGCTTTGATGAAGATAAGAAGAAGTTGGCGGAGATTAAGGCTCGGAAGGGCAAGATCCGAGTAAGTTTTCTCTCTCATCTGGCTGTTCTTTGGGATTGGTATACTGACTTTTACAGCCTGAGTGATCTGGTGCATGATAGCATGGCGTTCTGGGTGTCTTTTTCGATGGCAGGATAAAAGGTTCGAGGTGTCCTATGTACATGTGAGTATCTGCTTTTACTTTTTGTTCTCTTTCTGTTCGCTCCGAGGATGAACACGCTGGGGCCATAGTAGCAAAACGCGCTTTGTCCGCTGTTATGCCATGACTAGAAACACCAGCTTATCTATATCTTCTCGCCTTCTGAACTGGAGTTGATGTCTTGTCGGGATTTATTGTGCTTATTGGTCGTTCACGTGCTAATGGTTCAAAATAGGTTAGATACATACATACATGTTATCTCAATATCAATTATTTATGATCCAATTATATATACACATGTAGTTTATTAGTCCATATCATGGATGATGGCCAACCCAAGTCGTAGATGCCTCTAATTCCGGTTCTCCCGCACAGACCAACGCTTGGCGTCACATCCCACCTCTGGAGGAACGGTACGTCTGCCTATGGATGGGATTGATAGCTCTACAAGAGTATAGAACCATTTGAAAATATCAGAGACCAATTGCTACGGTTGGCTGTATCATGTGATATTACTCTCGGCTAAATCGCATTTTCCAAGCACGCCTGAGGCAAAAGCTTCATACGATATATCTTGGAAGAACAACCATATCTCACTGGCATACAACATCTTTTTGGAGCTTTTTTGCTTCTTTTTTTGCTTCAAACCCTCACCAAGACTGAACATTTTGATAACTCGACACGAAACATTCTATCTCTATCAAAGGAAAACAAAACAAACCTCAAGAATGTCCCCCGCCTCTATCCAAAATGATCAAGATACCGACTCCGACTCCGACGTCGAGTTCGAGGATGTCCCAATCTCCCTCCCAAGCAGACCCAGAAACAGGGAAGATACAGGAATCCCGATCACCATCCCCTCACCACAACCACAATGGACGCCAACTCTATCACTCCCGCAACAGCGAAGCCAACCTATCTCCTCCGGCTCCGAGGAAGAAACCCAGATCCGAGGCCAAATCAGCACCGGGATAGAGAGAGTCACATACCGCAAAATGAAATCCGATATGGGCATGGATGCACCAGATACACCAATTTCGGAACGCAGGTATGAGAGCTTCAAAGAGCTCGCCGCGGAGGTGGAGGGTCTTGTTGATACACTTTGGGCGTCGGCAACACGTGAGTTTATATTTTATTCGTACACGTTGTAGAAGTGAGGATTATACATTGCTATATACCATCTTCTTCATCATCTCCTTACATGTCTATCCTACCTTTAACTAACTCCATCCAGCGGCAATTCAAACTGAAGCCCTCATCACCCTAGCAGGCCTAACCCAAACCTCCCTCCCAGCCTTCCCCTTCGATGCCCCACCAACCCTAAACATCCTCCACAAGTTCGACTGCATCTTCGCAGCGCTGTGTACAGGCACGCATCCACTTACCGGTGCCGTTCTACCCGGCGCACAACCGGGCCAGTCTGTTGCGACGGAGACGCAGAAAGTGCGGATCCGGAGTTTGGCGGAGAGGACGAGATATCAAGTTTTTTCCTGTTTGGCCAAGTCGGATGAGAGAGTGGATGCTGCTACTGCTTCTAATGGTAATGCTAATGGATATGGGGATGATGAGGACGAGGATAGTGGCGACGAGGTTGATGATCCGTGGATGTTAGAAGCTACGCGGGTTTACGAGAAAAGTCTTATGTTGCTTGCGGAGCAAGATCCTGATGTGGAAGGGGGTATGGATGAGTTTAACTGTTTGTAGTATTATTCTTGTCTGACGTATGTGTGCCTATGCGGCTCCTACGGAGTATGCCTGTTAAATAAATGTTGAAGAAGGATATTTTTAGAACAGATCTCTTGCAATTACGTCGGTGCAGTACGGAGTACACTACATACGACGCTCAGGCCACACACAAAATGACATAGTTCTGGAGAAAGAAAAGTCCCACTCCAATTTGTATCCCATCTGTACATAAGTAGAGATTATACATATGGGTCTTAATCTTTCTTCTAGAAACTTCTAGCTCATTATTAATTTAAAAAAAAAAATCTGGACCGAAAAAAAAAGAGAGCCAGTGGGGTGCAGGCAAAAAAGTGGTGAATATTTATTGTACATGCCGACTTGAATCGGTCAAGTAATGAAGTATACAGTAAGTGTTCCCGTACGTTGAATTCAGGTATCAGTCACAGTCAGGGCTGACACTCTCTTTGGCTAGAATTGAGTGTACTAAGTGGATGTGAGCCCTGGAAGTGGGGGCCATCGGGGCCAGCTAGCCTGGGGCTGCGCAGCTCGGGGGGGGGGCTGCAATGGCCAGTAGGATGTCCGAGGGGTAGAATTTAGTGCAATGTTGCTTTGTATACTTGATTATGCTTTTGACTTGTTTTCTTTTTTTTTTTTCCACGTGAAAGTAAAGCAACATAGTGTGTTATGATAGGATGGCATTATATATATGTACGGAGTACTTTGAATGATATTTCCGGTGGGAACGAGCTTTGTTTTCTATGGTTCGTGTATTTGGGTATTGGAAGAGTTTGATTATATGTTAGAATAGGTATAGATATACGATGTACGTTGAAGCAGTCCACATAGGTTAATTATTTTAGGGCTCTACCTTAACTACCCATTCTCTTATGCAAGGGTTGGATTAGCTTATCATTAGATCTGAAACCTAACATCCCATTATCCCTTGCACCTTTTATAATACAAATGTCAGAATGTTTATAAAAACGCGTAAAGTGAAATAAAGGAAAATCTCTGCTGGGTAATTCTAATACGAGCGGCCCCCCAAGTCCGGCCAATAAGAACACCACTCCGCCTAAGAAGCCTTCCATGGTTCTGATGGAGCCTTTTTTTTTTTTTTTTCCCTCTTTGAAGTTTGGGATTCGGATGTGCGCTTCCTGGAATACGAAGGGGGGTTGGAAGTCCTTGCAGCTTAGCCTAGGTACATGGGTTAGAGAACCTTGCTTCGAGAAGATTGGGAGCTTTAAGGATTAGACCTTCAGCTTTCAGGCAGAGCTTGTATGGAAAGAGAATTACCGTATGGGGCTGATGATTCCATGGTTCGGGGCGTCTGTTCTCAAGTTTCTCTTATACGGAATAATGTATAGTCCAAGATGTATATATATATTGTATGTCAACTAGTAGTTTCACATATAATATGAGATATCAGATTCATGTAAAAATGTGAATATCTACCCAACAGGTACCTGATGCTGCTAGGTTAGGCGAAAAAAGATTACCTCAGCATATGACGATGAGCGGGAGAGGCGGGAGTTGACAAGTCACATTGCGAGGATGGCCACAGGTCCTTGCAGATTTCATGCATTGGGGCTTCTTCCCCCTTGTTCTGTCTTTCACTGAAATTGGTTCGGATTTTGTTTAAATCTGGGTTTTTATTCTCACTTTCTTTCTCCATGTTTGCTGGAGGATACGGACCGGCGGAAGAGCGAACTCTCAAAAAGAGACTGAAGTTGATCGGCAAACAACTTTGGATGTAGACCTCGGGTCATAGGCTATGATGTATCGACTTCAATTCTCCCGACTTCCCGGGATCCTGGAACGATGAAGAATCTAACAAGCCCCCCCGCATGATTGATATCATGCAGCGTTGACAGGAATCTGGGGACTAGTATAAGTGATATGATTTATAGACGTACCTCCAGTAAAGGAAGTTTTGATCGAGGCAAGGCACTACAGTATAGATATGATATTGATATCTATAAAGAGTTTTATATATTCTATTCTACATACCTATACTGTTCGCGAACATACCATACCTTGTAATACACATACCATACATCTCACGTAATGCGTTTCCCACTTCCCCTCTCTCACTTCATCTCTTCCAATTCTTCATTTTCTTCTTTTCCCCCCTCCTACCTTTCCCCTCCCTTTTTCTTATTGTTCGAAGATTTCAATTTTCTGTTTAGTCGGGAGTTCTGCTTTTCCTCCCTTGTTGCCGACTCTTTTTTTTTTGCCTCGCGCATTTCCAGTGTTTCCCAGGTTTTCCTCTAGGTGAGTTTGAAGCCTCTTTTCAAACCCTACTCCCCAATACCTAGCGCAGTGCAAATTAGCCCTATATCGCAAGCTTTTTTGCAGGGCTCTCCAATTTTTAATATGGCGATTCGTCGTATGTTTCAACGCCTTCGCCTTGACCAGCGCTTCGGGACCGATTATCTACCGGTCGCACGCATCGCAACCTTAAAATAATCGACAATATAAGGAACCGGTCAGATCTGGATGCCTGAATTGCTCGAAAATGGTGCTGGATGAAGAGAGGGTGGATGGTCGCATTCGGACATCAAACCGGAATGACGGAAACGGTCGAAGCAATGATCGCCTAGCATCCGAGTGGAAACAAGTCTATTTTCGTCTTGCGCATCCGATTTTCGCCCTTTGATTGTTCGTCTTCGGCCAATCCACTCTCCAATCTACCATGTTGAAGTTGAAATGCTGCCCGAAGCACTGGTCTTGGCGATTTCCGGCACCGCTTTTATGAGGCTCAGAAATCATATATGCGCCTGAAGAAATCACCTGCAAAATCCTGACTACCCGCATTCTCTCTCCCCCCCCCTTCTTCCGCATCAATTTTTGGTTTCTGCATTGATTGCTTTGTCTGGTTTTCGTGTCTCACTTCATTTTCTTTACTTGCGCATGTCCAGATCTTCAATTTAAGTGAAAATTGATATAATCTAACTTTATATCTTTGAGCAGCCTTTCACGCCCGTCTCTTTGCTTGGCTTCGTTACGACTTGATCTTACGCCGGTCTTTCTTTAACGACTCCACGAAGTTCTAGTCGTTCAGCCATCTTATATTCTTACGTCGACTTTCCGGACTTTGATTCTTGCAACCATGTCTTACAACAACGGCTACGAAAACTTCCCTCAGCAGGATCCCGCCGCCGCTGGCGCCCCGGCTCCCGTTGATACCAACATGACCGGCCAGGTCGACCCCTCCGCCGCTCAGTTCCAGGGCCCTCCTCCTGGTGAGCCCAACTCGGCTCCCGTCCCCCAGCAGGGCGCCGATGGCAAGACCACCCTCTGGATGGGTGAGCTCGAGCCCTGGATCGATGAGAACTTCATCCGCAACCTGTGGTTCCAGATGGGTGAGCAGGTCAACGTCAAGATGATCCGTGACAAGTTCTCTGGGTAAGACACCGTAATGATTTAAATTCCACAAAAATTGTTTCTAATGTGGGTAGTAGGAGCAATGCTGGATACTGCTTCGTCGACTTCGCTTCCCCTGCTGCCGCTGCCAAGGCCCTTTCCCTGAACGGCACCCCTATGCCTAACACCAACCGGGTCTTTAAGCTCAACTGGGCTACCGGCGGCGGTCTTGCCGATCGCAGGTAAGCGAGCACCTCATCCGTTTTCTCCCCGGCCCTATAACTGACTCCGTCCCAGCCGTGATGACCGTGGCCCCGAGTACTCCATCTTCGTCGGTGACCTCGGCCCCGAGGTGAACGAATACGTCCTCGTTTCCCTCTTCCAGAGCCGCTTCCCCTCTTGCAAATCTGCCAAGATTATGACCGATCCCATCAGCGGCATGTCCCGTGGCTACGGCTTCGTTCGCTTCTCCGACGAGAACGACCAGCAGCGTGCTCTCACTGAGATGCAGGGTGTCTACTGTGGCAACCGCCCCATGCGCATCTCCACCGCTACCCCCAAGAACAAGGGTCCCGGTGTCGGTGGTAACGGTGGTGCTGCCATGGGTATGCCCGGTCCCGCTGGCATGTACCCTCCCATGGGTGGCCCTCCCATGCCATTCTACGGTGCTCCCCAGCCCATGAACCAGTTCACAGACCCCAACAACACCACTGTCTTCGTCGGTGGTCTGTCTGGCTACGTCACCGAGGATGAGCTCCGGTCTTTCTTCCAGGGCTTCGGAGAAATCACCTACGTCAAGATTCCCCCTGGAAAGGGCTGTGGTTTCGTCCAGTTCGTCCAGCGCCACGCCGCTGAGATGGCCATCAACCAGATGCAGGGCTATCCCATCGGTAACTCTCGCGTGCGTCTGAGCTGGGGCCGCTCCCAGAACAACTCCGGCCCCGCCGGCAGCCCCTACCGCCCTGCTCCTCCGCCGCCTCCCATGTACCCCTCCATGGGTATGCCCCCAGCCCACCAGTATGGCGGGTTTGCCCCCATGAAGGTGAGCGATCACCCTGGCAGCCCGATCCCGGATCAAATGTGAAGCAGGCGGTCGGCTGACACACTCTTCCAGTAAGCGTTTCCCTTTGATTGAAAGCACCAGCAGGAGTTATTTGTGTCATTTCAATGATGATTCTATTGTGTCATAACAAATTCGTTCCCCCTGGTTTTCTGGCCAAGGCTATAGCTCTTGATGAGCATTTGTCTCCTGTGCTACGCATTTCCTTTTTACGTGAGCGCTATTACCTTAGCAAGATCTGAGCTTTCTCCCCTTTTCTGATCTGTCTTGTTCTTATGTATCTTTCTCTTTCTTTTATTTACCCCTCCGTTTCCTCTCTCTCTCCCTCCTCCTTTGCGCCCTTTCGTATTTTATTATTTTTTTCGTTATCTTATTTTCGATGTCTCTCTGCCCTGATGCTATCGGGTTTCCCCCGCCACTGGGTCTTTGTCTGCGTGTAATGGAAGTCCGAATTGTCATGAGCTTCTTTTCCCTTATACTCCTTGGGCAGGCATTCTGCGAAAAGTTCCATTTTCCCCCACGTTACTACCTTATTTCCTTTGTTCCCCTTTTTTTTTCTCTTTTCTTCAAGCAGCTAAATTGAATTATGTTCGCTTTGAGAATTTTTGCGTCCTTTTTCTTTACCCTTGTTTCTCTGTTAAGACTGATTGCCGGCTTGTACAACACGCTTGTTTCGTGCGCCTCAGCGTTTGTCGATTCTAAATTCCTTTGATCGTATGCTCTAATGTCCTGTACGCTCGTTTGGTGTTTGCATCACACTACTGCCGTCAAGCTCTCTATTTCTCCTGGTATTGTATCGTCGGCCCTTTGCTTCTGGATCTTCTACCTATATAAACATTGCCCCTGTGGCTGGTCCCATAGGTGGAGGTTTCGATGGATTCGAGCATATCTGATTGCTCTGGTAGTTATCCCTCGGGTTGGTGTCTTGCTGTATTGCTGTCCACTGTCTTGATATTTTGAGAGGTATTCTGGGGTTAGGGCTGGACTTTGAACTTGACCTGATTCCGAGACAAATCTTTTAGATCACTGTAAATTTCTTCATTCCTAGGTGGAATTTATCTAGGTACGGCTCTTCACCTTCGTGTGGTTCTGTTCACTCTTCTCCCGTTCTGTGAGAGCTTAAAAATACTTCACGTGGCCGACTATTCGTGTACTTGCAGTGAGATATCCTACACTAGATAGTTCCATTTCAAATCTCACTTGTCGATGTATAGCCAGGACCCATACCGCCTACCCTAATCGATGATACTACTTTGGGCAACAACGATGTTCGAGGTTACTTCCATTGTCTATACAGCAACTTTGACATGAGCAATCCGTTCATCCTCTTTCTACCCCCCACAGCATCATGCGGTACAGAAACTGGGATGTTCTTCTTTTTCCTGGAGGCTCAAAGGTTCCTATCCAAGAGTTCAAGACACAATGTTTTGTGACCAAAGATAAAGACTCGCCCTACCTACACAATGCAGTCTTTCTTGGCCCTCATGCACACCTTCCCGAGCAAGGTACCTTCAACCAGCTGCCAGTCCTTACAACATTCATCCCGAGTCTGCCCAGAGACAGTCCATTCCAAGTCTCGGTTCATAGTTGGGAGAAACCACGCCCCAGCATCCAGATCGAGTCCAACATGGAGCCAGAGGACGTTTTACTCTGCGAGGTGCGACTATTCATTGACGGGGTCTTTGTTGCGTGAGTAACTTACGGTCTATGCACTCAGGTCGTTAGATTGAGCTGATACCTTGCAGGGGTAGTATCTATGGACAGAGAACTAGTTGGCCACAGATTATGGGTACGTTGTGCGCGTTTGCATCGACGTAACGCCCTTCCACCATTTCTCTTTCTCCCTCTCTTGCCTTGTTTATTGTTGAATGCCTACTGACATTCATTTGGCAGATCTGAGTTCCAGTATGACAATTCTTCTTTCTTCTATGATTCCAGATTCTCACACTCCAGGCAGCTCTTGACCGAGATGGAAACCAAGACACCCTTCGATTCCCCCCCTTTCATTCTGAGGTACTACAGCAGAAGCATTGGGATGCCGGAGATTCTCAAGGTAGAATCAAGGTTGTCATCGCAGAAGGTTTCTCTCGCCCCAATCGCACGCCCCCCTTCGAACGATACAAGCATGTCATCGTTTTCTCCTTCCAACATGCACCACTAGATGTGCTGGAATTCTCCGACATTGCTTGGCCCAATCCCAACATGTGGCTTTCTATGCCCAATGGATCCCGGTACGGATCGGCGGCGAGATATGGTACCTCCAAGGTAGTTGGCGATGGTGCCCATGGGCATTCACCAAGCAAACCTGACAGACCCGAACATCGAATTGCAGCTACGGCTAATACGAGTAGCCAATCCAGCAGTAATGCCGCTACTTACAGTGGTAGCACTCCGTCAACTTACAATGCCTGGACCCCTCATCGTGGGTTTCCCATCCCTTCTACACAGTGGAACAGTTATCCACAAGAGCCTCGATGGGAGTCACAGGATACATACATCGTGGAGCCTAGCATGGATGCTTTCATTGACGATACAGCATGGCGACAGCGTGGTGCTCGATCCTCTCGCGAGGACGTCCCCATGCCAGATTATGCTTCCACGGTATCGACCACCAGCAGTCGGGCCATCTCCAGCGTGACTGGTATGAGCTACGAGCACAGCAAGCAGCCCAGCATCAATTCCTGTCTTGACGATGAGCAATACAATGAGCTGATCCAAGCTCTGACTCCAACGAAGGTGCCTGCAGTGGGTACTCGTGCACCCTCTAATACCCCCTCCACTGCTGCCACCGCGATGTCTGCCCCAAAGCCTTCTGCTGCATCCGAAGCTCGATCTGTACGTTGCAAGTCCCGAAGCCGCCGTTCATCCGCACTCAAGGAGATATCACAACCAAGCACCCGTGATGTTTCAGGATCGAGCGAGCCCAAGAACTTAACCCCATCCAAGCTTGGCGCAAGTCCAAGCGACAAGATCCGGAGCAAAAAGGAGAACCAGAAAGACGCCAACCAGGAGACCCCCAAAGCGAAGTCTAAGGGTAAGGACACTGCAAAGGAAAACTGCAACTCCAAGGAGGTCGAAAACGTGCTGGACGAGAGTGAATCGAATTTGTAGGATCGAGGTGGTCATGACCATGCTTTTCAACTTATATTTACCTACTTCCTTCACTTGTTTTACTTCAGGCTTGATATGAAGCCGGCATGTATATTTTATGTGAATTTCAATCCACACGTTCAATCAATACCCTTTTTACTCTATGAGTTTGACAGACATGCTGGATTTGTAGAGTCGACAGCTTGCAAATTTTGGAGCTTGGGATTTCCCATTAAGGCATCCATCCAGACTCTCGCAGTAAAGCCGGACATACATCCCTGGTTATACAAGTCGCAGTTTATGCATTTTGCATTTTCTGTCATCTACCTAGAAAACTGACTGTAAAAGACATGCAAAAAGATATCTCAAAAGAATATCTGAGAACACTACCGAGAACATTTCCAAAAAAAAAAGACTATCAAAAGGCCGTATAAGCGGTTGACTATTCTTGTAAGCTGTCAATGGGGTTGCTTGTGTTTAAATATCAACCTGTGGATATTTGGAAATTGATCCAGCTCAAGCTCTATAAGAATGCAAGTTACAAAAGAAGATCAAAGGAAAATATGATTCAATTCCATATCTAAAGCCAGGGGGCTATCCCCAGCAAAAAGGTTCAAAGATTCAACGGTTCTGTCTCAGCGAGATTCGAAGTGCAATGAATCAAGCTTTTGGAAATGCCCTCAAGAGTTCTCTTCATGGGACAAGTAAAAAAAAAAAAATTACCAGAGTGCTGTCTCTGGTGAAAAAGTTTCAAAAATTTGGAGTTTGATGGCGCCTGTGGACCACCCAAGGATTTTAAGAATCCATGCTCTAGTCCTCAGTTATCCTCCGCCTCCCATCTCGTAGGACCCGAGCGTCAACCTTAGTGGCCGACTTAGTCATACCCCCGGAGGGTGACTGTCCTATATCCTCCCCCTGTCTGCCAGAGTCCTCCTCCTCTGGGACGAGGCCACGCCGGGTCTCAGATAGCCCATCCTTCACCTCCCCAAAGACGTGATACGCTTGCGCGCAGTCGGACGTCAGGAAAGCCCTCAGAATAATCTTCACTGGGCACCCCACTCCCCTGGGACGAGGCCACGCCGGGTCTCAGATAGCCCATCCACTTCCCCAGAGACGTGATACGCTTGCGCGCAGTCAGACGTCAAGAAAGCCCTCAGAGTACTCTTCACTGGGCAGGATTGGCTGATGAGTGTACCTGTAAAAGGAGGAATGTCAGCCAGATGTCGTCGAGGTCATGAGTACACAGGACTCACCATTGATTCGTTGGTGGCACAGAAAGGCCGATGGTCTCGTGAGAGCATGTAAGCATGAGCGTTGGAAAGTGTGGTCAGTGGGAGCTCCCAAGACATGAATCTCATAGTTAACAGGTGCCCATAAGGGTTGTCTCGGAAGCTTCCTCGACCCAAGGCCAAAAGACCGAGACGAGTGTGCCTGGTGAGTCAAAAGTGTCAGCGAGTTGTCGTCTCATGTGCACAAGGGACGCACCGTAGATATCCCAGATGCACTGAAAATAGAATGATGTCTCCCACAAGTCCTGTGTCTGGAAAGGATGACAGAGGCAAACATTAGCAAAGTGCAGCATGATCAGGAAGAGTCATTATGGCAAGCCTGGCAAGGAAAGTCTCCATAGCCCCGAACATAATGAAGGTCAAGGGTGGAGACACACATGCCTCGGTCTTCATGAGAGTGGTATACTGTCACATGGCCAGCAGAGAACGGAATATACAAAGGGAACAAACAAGGAGGGTCACAGATTGGAGGATGGAGGATGGAATGGGAGGGATAGAGGATAGGTGTAAGAGGGAAGAAGAAAAGAGAAGAAAGGTGGGTATTTATATGTGAGGCCCCTTCCCGATTAGGAAAAGTAGTATTTGCTATGGCCGACAACTAATAGAGTAGGTGCCATAAATGACATGGTCTAATTTAGTTCTAACCTGAGTTATACTCCCACAGGTCTACACTGGGAGTATAACTCAGGTTAGAACTAAGGCTAGAAACTGGACCGAGAAAACTGTTCATGAATTCGGATCCATATTTTGAGACCAGGAAAATAACATGTAACGCATAACCATAACGACGTCGAAACTCCTGGAATCTGTTAGGGGAATATCCAAATCCAATAAATCCGGTCACATCCCATCAACACAAGACATAGAGTCACGAAACTCCTGGTTCTTTTGAGTTCCCTTTTGTGCCAGTCCCATTTCCTTCGGGTCACTCCTGGTCCGATTCCAGTGACACGGGCTGATTGGGGTATTCGGGTCTGACCCGAGAGTACAGGCAAAGTGGAGAAGAAAAAGAGAAAAGAGAAGAGAAGAGAAGAGAAGAAAAGAGACGAAAACCACAGGCTATGTAGCCTGGATGATAGAAGTAGAGAGGTGGAAGAATCCACTACCAGTGATACTGGTAACAAAAGAAAAAGAAAAAAGCAGAAAGAAAAGAAACGGCCGGCATTTGTTGGAAGGTTGTTTGAGATGGATCAAAAAAGAGAAGATGGACCAAAAATAAAAAGGAAATCGTTGGGAAATGAAAGGATAAAAGTGCACTGAATCAGCCGTAGGGACCTGGACTTCATACTGAGAGTATTGGCGTTGCCCCGTACAGACAAGGCAAAGCAAGGAATTAAGTAACCACATCCACAAGTAATAATAGTAATAATAGAAAGAAAGGAAGAGAAGCCAAGAAAACTCGTAGGTCACAGTGCACTAATCTCGAATACAGAAGCGCCCTAGTCAGTCCAAGCAGTCTCGTGGTGTCAGTTGGAGGCTGCTGGCTGCCGAGGACGAGCAAGGGGAGGGAGAGGATGCGATGAACAAGGTACACCAACGCCAATCTCACAGCATACGCGCAGAACACACCTATCCAGGTAATTGAGAGACAAGAAGAAAACAGAACAGGTCGAGTATCCGCGAAAACGCACTAGAGCAATGATCAAATGTACAAACAAGGGTATATCGGAGGTGAAGCACCTGAAGGACCGTTAAGACTTTTACACGTTCATAGGGTGTCACCGGCACCTGTCTCAACACCATCGGCCGAATAGGATATACTGGGATCAAACCCAAATCCAGTGGCATCGGCATCCGTGTTGAGGAATGTGTCAAAGTCAAAGTTCTCCAGAATGTCTGGATTTTCCAGTGCGCTAAAGTCGAGGTTGAATGCGGAAGCCTTTGATAAGAGTCAATAAATGCATGCTCTTGGAGACGTAGGAAAGAATATAGAACATACATCAGGAATGCTGAGGTCAGTGAAGGATTGCTGTTGGTCAGGGGGCGGCTGCACCATGTTCTGAGGAGCAGCTGCTGAGGTAGGCTGGGTCGGTTGAGCTGGCCCGTTCGCTCCGTTCTTGTTATTGAAAGAGCTAGGATGTTGCGGTGTGACGGGAGTCGATGGGGTCGGTGGCTCTGCGGCTTCGGTGGATGGAGTCGCACCTGCGGCCGCACTAGCAGCAGCAGCAGCAGCAGTAGCTTGCTTCTTGTTGGGTCGCTTGAATTCAAGTTAGCAAATACAAAAATTACAGTAGCATTTGAGAGTATACAAACCTTGCGGGTGTCCTTAGTGTCCTTTTTCCCCTTTGGTGCAGCCTTGGCGGCCTGCTGAGGCGTTGGTGGCGCATTGCCAGCCGTTTGAGGTGAGGCCGGCTGACCACGAGCAACGTTAGGACCCGTGACGGGTGGCGCCGAGGGCGGAGGCATCGCGCTTCGTTCCTGCGGGGTTCCAGCCTGGGGCTGGTTCGCAGGTGAATGCTGCGGAGGCATCTGCGGTTGTCCTGGCTGCCATTGTCCGCTAGGCATACGCTGGCCGGCGTTGGCCGGAATCGGCTGGCCCATTTGAGCTGCAGTGAAGGCAGGATTAGAGCTAGGAGGTCGCATATTCGGTCCAGTGAAGTACTGAGCTGCCATCTCTGGGGGTATCGGACCACCGTTGAGGTTCATGGATCCGGGTGATCCACGTTGAGACATGTCGCCGGCACTTGGTGACCCGGGAAGTCCAGTCGGAGGCATCTTGGGCGTGCCTCGTTTCATTTGGTCGCTAGGATTGGGAGACGCACCCGCCCTGCTGCCCGGGGAAGTGCCTGGCGGCAAAACTCCTTGGCCGGGCATTGGGGGCTGGCCGTCAGCACGGGCCATGCTATCCTGCTCTTGACGAGCCATCATCAGGCGCCGCTTATTCTGCTGTTCAAGCAGCATAAGCTGCATCTGATAATCCTGGAGAGCATGGTTACCATGCTGATTGCCAGGTGTTTGTAAACTACCGGGTCGGACCTGGGGCATTTGACCGTTCGCACCGTAGTACTCAGGACCACCAGCCATGGGATACATGGCTTGGCCATCTGGCATCGGCACCAGGTCCGCCTGATTCGCCATAACACCGGGATTCATCATGCCACCATTTGGGATACCCTGGGAATTCGATGCTGAGCGAGAGTGATGAAGGGCCAAGTTTTGAGCATATACCTGCATAGATTTCTGTTGCGCAGCTTGTCCCTGGAACTGTTGAAATTGCGCCGGAGTCATTCCCCTCTGCATTCCATTCTGCATCATTATAGCCTGCTGGTTGGGCTGTCCAGGCATTCCTTGTCCCTGTACACGGCCATTCGGTGCCAGCTGCTGTCCGTTGACAGCTCCTTCGAGACGTGGGCGTTTCGACGGCGAGGGGGCGTTGTCGGCAGACGCTGGTGACTGAGGTCGATGTCCACCCATCTCCATGTCCGGATCCCGTTGCATTTGCTGCATCATTTGCAATTGCTGGGTCTTTTGGTACTGCGCCATTTGTTGTTGTTGTTGGGAGCTAGAAAAGAAAAGAAAAGAAACTCATCAGCACGTCCACCCCCAACTCAACAATCCGCATGGGGAAGGAGATATTCAGATAGAGCATACAGTCCGGTGGTGTTGTTTTGCAGCACTGTTTTTTGCAGGTTAGGTGGCACCATGCCGCCATTCTGTCTCCGGAGCTGGTTCATCTGGCCGGGCATCATGGGTTGCTGCCTCATAAATTGATTATGTTGCTGTTCTCGCAAACGCATGAAGTTCTAGAGTCCAGGATTAGTCCATAATAGTCACATCATCCATGAAGATGATCGTTCACGCACCTGGTTATGCTGAAGATATTGTCTAATATCATTGCTATTTCCCTTCTTCCGTTGAGCCCAGAAGAATTCCCAGAAAAGGCTGAACCAATCGAGGAGGAATGACGAGGGGCTTTCATTAGGAATACTTGGGCGAGGGAGATCATCTGGGATCTTGATCTTTTCGCCATCCTTCCCATCAGTCATCATAGCATCAGGGTCCATACCATTGACGTCGCCATCACGCCGATTTCCGGGACTCGTCTTGGGGTTGTTGTCGGTGTTTAGTTTGATGGATTCATCTTGCAAGAGCGCGCGGGCGCAGTCATGGTACCCACGCTTCAGAAAGTAATCGTAGATATACGTGTTGAGGTTGTTGATCATGATTTCGGGGTTGTTCATAGCGCCGTCATTACGAGAAGCCGTGGATCCGTTGTTGATCATAGGAACTCCGCCCACAGGGCCCCCAGCCCCGGGGTTCATCCCGATATTCATTTGGTTCATGGTGGCGAACGGTGGGACTGCAGCCACCCTTGCCTGTGGTATCGTGAGATTTTCAAATCGGATGTGTGAAGCTTCCGACGCGCGACCTCCGTTTCAGGCTATCAAGCCTAACGCGGGGTGATAGAAGCGACGCGTGGGAATGGATGCGGAGGCAAAGCGGTCAGCGCTTTCGAATATCGAAGGCTCGTAGACTAAGCAACGCGTGTGCGTAACAGCGCAAAGCAAACGGGTATATGATCGCGAAATATAAGGGAGTTCAGGATCACCAGTGGCGTCTTTTTCCGGAGAAACCACGCGACGGGATAGAAACGAGAGGATGGAGGCTCGGAGGCGCAGACGAAGTATGCTCGGTGTCTCTGACTGGAGAAATTGGTGAGCGTTTGCTAGAGGACTAAACACTTCAAATGGCCAAGTATAGAAGCAAGGGCGCAGTCTATATGGGGTGGGCGATGACGAAGGTATAAGGAGGCGGAAAAAGCACACAAGTGAGGTGGTTGGTATTTGGGGGGGGGGCGGCGCCAGACACCCGATCGGGCAGAATCGCGGACAGGAGAGCACCAAGCCCTTATACAAAGAAAAAGAAACACAAGGAAAAGAAACGGAAAAATAGAGCAGATTAAGAATAGAAAAGGGGAGTCTTAAAAATGTGGATCTCACAGTGGGAAGAGGAGGACGGAATCAGTGAGAGAGAGCCGGGGGGGACGTACAGCGACAGGCGCTGCGCTCTGCGGGAGAATCGCTTGTTCGGAGCGGATCAACCTGGTCGGAGGTCGGGGCTGGGGATGGCGCTGTCAAGCGTATTTCTGGGAATGCACCGATCTGATAACCATTGAATTTGCGGTCTGCAACAAAAGAGAAACAGGAGCCAGAGTATTAGCGAGAAAGAAAAGAGAGATACATGTGGAAATATGGTGGTTTGAATGGAAAAATTAAAGGGAAGGGAAAGTCAGAAGGGGTGATATGATACCTGATGGGCCCTGCGATGGATCCCAGCGGGAGTCTAAAAGTAGGGTAAGCCACTATTTTCACGACCACCACGAAGGTAGAATATACCAAAGATGAATCAATCTAGAAAGAATTGAGTAAATTGAAAGAAGAATCAATGTGGAAAAGTTCTGCTTAGGTTGAGGTTGAGAAAAGATGGAAAGGAGGGAAATTCGATCTGTAAAGAGTTGAGGGGCGGCGGAGATAGTGGTACAGAACGGGTATGGTATTGTGTTTGTGACATACAGTACTTCACAAATACACTAACTCGGACTTTCCGTTGACCGCTGTTTACTAGCCCAGGAGTCATATATACTTGACCGCACTGCAGGTTTACCTTACAATACATGTTTGGTTATAACCATACAGATCAAGCTCCTGACCGGCAGATTCGCCGAGGATCTACACGTATAAAAAAGGAAAAAAAGGGAGATCATGCAATTTCGATGGACTGACTGATAGTAACTTGACCAATGTCACTCTTATAGATCGGAACAAATATATTCTTATGTATTGAACCCCCTATATGCCAGTGATAAATCGCGTGGGAGGATACATCACAAAGCCTAATTTGCTAAAAAAAAAGACAGGTGTACAAAATAGAGTGATTATCGGAATAATGAGGGCAATCCATCCCCTTAAAAAAAGAAATCATTGAGGAACCCCAGAACGCCCATTCTTCAAATAATGTAAATGCACAAGATCTCAGATCATTACTCTTCCTCGGGTGGCATCTCATCCTCAATGTATCGTACAAGGGAGACCCTCATCTCTGTGGTATCATCTCCGCGCAGCACATCACTGACAAAATGTGCCTCGATCTGCATTTGAACCTAAAATAAAAAAGCCGGGTCAGTGATCGGACCCAGAACAAGGGAATCCAATCTGATTGACCGGGGTACCAGTCAGTGACTTACCATCTCCAGGGACCCCCGGAGGACGCCACACAAAATATTGGAGAACCATAACTCGTCCTGAGCCCGCCCATCATCGGGAAGCTCCACAAAGTCTGCCAGGGGGTTGTCTTCAAAGATAAGGGAGAACTGGGTGTTGTCACTCGTCCAGTTTGTGACGGTAGGTGTGACGTTCAGGAAGATCTTGAAGCCAACCTGCTCGGAGAGTCAGCCATCATAGTTTTATTATCTCCATGTAAAGTGACTCCCACCTTTGCAATCATATCAGCTGTCTCCCGGAAGTTGGCGCATCGGCCGACACCTGACTTGGCTAGGAAGTCTTCAATGAGTCGCATTCCGATATTGTATCCCATCTTGTCCAACTGCTTGTTGACATCCTGGTAGTTGCTATCGTAGTCTTGGCATAACTGTGCGACAATTGTTCCGTAGGTTAATGTGACCAACTCCGCGTTGACTTTATCAACTCTTGTTCTGCGCATGTGAATAAAGCCGATTAGTTCGAGTTCGAGGACGAAGATACAGCGAAGTGGCAATCGCTTCTTAGTCCCAGTAGGCAGGCACCGGGGCTTACTGACTTCCATATTCTGTTCGAATGCCATTGATTAGTTGAAGATCCACTGGATAAGGCATTCAACCTTGGGAGTCCACTTACTCTTCTCCTATTCTGGAAGCTTTCGTGGACGACATCTTTGGGATTGTGCTCCTATAGCTCTGGTTGTTCGAAATAGGAAAATAAATACCGTCCAGACAAGCAACAAGCAGAGGTAAATGTGACAGTCAACTGTTGATCAGGGTGATTGTGGGGGAGTCCGTTGTTGGAGTTGCTGATTGTACACAGTGCTCTGCTACGGCCGACGAGACCGACCATACTGAACTTTGATTTTATTGGTTGTTTGTATTCACCGCTTTTTTCTCCGCCTTGCAATTGATATGTGTAGATGTATTTTATATCATGTACAAATGACCCTCCGCGGATTTCTCCCTCTTATCTCCCCCTGCTTCTGCATCTCTATATACTTCCAAAGCTATGTAGGTAAATATGTACCATCTCTCTATTTTATAAGATAAAATAAAACTAAGGAGTGGTAGTTGGTGAGTGGGGTAAATTACCATATTATTTTCTGCCAGACAAAAAAAGACAACCCAATACAATCAAGTCCCGATGGTCGCTTTCGTCAACTGGACACAGCCCGCTCACCGCCGAGCCCGAGCCTAGGTGGGATTATCGTTCTTCCCGCTTCCCTGAACTTTTGCTCTCACTACTTTCGCCCTAAGTCGCGATTGGTCACCAATCAAATCTTTTTACCTCTCTAAATTCACCGAGGTGCTTGCTGTGACAATGTCTGGTGAAAAACGCCCTGCTCCAGAGGGCTTTGGGACCTCGCACCAGCTCGTGGTCAAGCGGAACAAGGCCGCCGAAGACGCAGGAACTGCGCTTGTGAAGGGCTCCTCCCAAAATGGAGCTCTTATTCAATCTGTACGCACCAGGTTTGCAAGCTTAGGAGGCTTTCACGGGATACGGCCAGCTAATCTGAGTCTACAGGTTCCTCGCACGAGTGGTTTGGATGCTCCTATCATGGAGCTTACAGGTGAGACGGTCGCCAATGCGTCGCTCTACACGCGCTAATAGAAGGAACCTACTAGGTCACTCTGGTGAAGTCTTTGCAGTTCGATTCGACCCTACCGCGCAACATATCGCATCTGGATCCATGGATCGTTCCATTTGTATGTCTCGTCTTTATCCGGGAATACGGCCGAATTTGTTACTGATCGAGATTTGTTGAACAGTACTTTGGAATACATATGGACAATGCGAAAACTACGGCCAATTGACAGGTCACCGGGGAGCTGTGTTGGATCTTCAGTGGTCACGCGATTCGCGGGCACTGTTCTCTGCGTCTGCAGACATGACCCTCGGAAGCTGGGATGTCGAGACTGGAGAACGAGTACGCCGTCACGTGGGCCATGAGGAGATCATCAACTGCCTCGATATCAGCAAAAGAGGACAAGAGCTTCTGGTCAGTGGCAGTGATGATGGCTGTATTGGTATCTGGGATCCTCGACAGAAGGATGCTCTGGACTACCTCCAAACCGAACTCCCCATCACCGCAGTGGCATTGTCCGAAGCGGGCAATGAAATTTACAGTGGAGGTATTGACAATACAATCCACGCCTGGGATCTTCGAAAGAAAGCCATAGTCTACTCCATGGCTGGACATACAGATACCATCACCTCGCTACAAATTTCGCCAGACTCACAAACTTTGCTATCGAACTCTCATGACTCTACCGTTCGCACATGGGACATCCGTCCCTTCGCCCCTACCAACCGGCAAGTGAAGACCTACGATGGCGCTCCTGTCGGACTAGAGAAGAACCTCATCCGTGCCAGCTGGGATCCCAAGGGCGAAAAGATTGCTGCAGGCAGTGGTGATCGAAGTGTGGTTGTTTGGGATGTCAAGACTGGGAAATTGCTGTACAAGCTTCCCGGTCACAAGGGCACTGTCAATGACGTGCGCTTCTCTCCCAATGATGAGCCAATCAGTGAGTATATACCCCCCCCTCTTTACAAGCATACCATTGCTAACGTTATCATAGTCGTTTCTTGTTCCTCCGATCGGAACCTGGTGCTTGGGGAGCTGGGCAAATAAGCATAAAGATAGGTATTAATGTTTTAATGAAGATCAGCGGGCGTCAAATTCATTTTTTCAAATATGCCATGTGCATCCCCGATCTGGAGAGCATCCTTCCAGTCGCGACATGTCCGGCTATATATCCGGATCATCTGAATTGTACAATAACTAAAATTCAAAGTAATTCTTTGAATCTTTCCATCTACAGTCTTAGATTCTGTTGACCTCGGATGTAGAGCTTGAATAATCTGAATATCTTAAGGAATAACATTAGAAACTGGATTGCTATTTTCTAATATTCTGATGGTAGAATCCAAAGAAAAACACCTCAACGGGAAGTACCTGTAGACCTATACTGTACATTCATGGTTCTCTGGATTCTCCAACATTCCTGATCTTCCTACTGCAACTTTGTTTTCATCTCGTGGCTCAGCCTGATCGCATCCCAATACAAGGCAATGTCGAACCCAGAAGCTACTTCGCTCGTGCACACTGCTGAGGTCAAAAAATGGTCCACGCGATCGGATACCTGCAATGTGGCCTCATTTCTCCTCTCTGTCTCCTGTAAGATGTATATATCCACATCCCACATCCGACTCCCTTGCTAACTCCGTAGTAATTGTTCTCGCCTCCGCAGGACGTGAGGCCGCATTGTGGACCATGGTAGGATTTCTCACCCCCTTGGTCATCCTTCAAGTCTATTGTTGGTGGCGCCGTCAGTCTGCTTCCAGGATTGCTACCAGTTAGGGGGGGGGGGGGGGGGGGGCACAGGGACCCATAGGGACCCATAGGGAGGGTGTAGGACTTGGACGATCTATATATCCTAGTTCGAGATAATCTTAAAGACCCGTGAAATCATTGGCGAACTGCCAATTCTAGTGAAACTAACTTTTTCAGTAAACCCCATGGGGTAGACCCTAAACAAAATAGATTCAACCTCTCCGTTGGACCTGCGTACACGGTCACTCTACCACCAATGGACCGTAGTCTGAATGCCCTTGGACAGTTCAACAATTTTGAAGAACTTCACATTTTTGAGTACTGAGAGAATCTCTCTCTTGATGAGTAAGGGGAATGGTGAATTATAATAGCTCCGTGTTTTCAATTCATCTTCTATTACTGACATATGAGCTTACAGTTTGGTCTTGATTGTTGACTTGCTAAGCAGGGAATATCCACGGATACTTGAGGCGTCTCCTTGTATTACGGTCTTATCCATATATCCATATGGCATGGGCAAGTCGGATTTGATGAGAGACAGCAAAAATGATAGGCTCGAAGTGCCCTCTTATGTTGACACCCTTTTTCAATTGCAAGTCTACTTGTTGTCTTCTTTGGATCTATACATAGGTCCTAGCTGAAGGAACAGAAGACATGTAGATATCTTAAGCTCTGTGCCCCTTGATCCAAGATATCATGCCTCGTGGAGTTTATCGTGGAGTCCAAGGCTTTTCGTACATGATATTATCACTGCATAGTTTTCTATAGCTAAGTGCCTAGCCGTATCGATTCGTATCTGACTATTGTTAGCTCCAAGGACGTTTGCAGGGCCAGGATAACTTTATCGAATATGTTGGCGCATAGTTCGTGTACAACCACAATGGCTATTTTTGACCACATTTATATCGCATCTTACCCGATAAACCATATATGTATGCTATATGGGACTTCATATTCAAAACAAATAGTAAATTACTATCTATAGGCACTAAAGTCAAATAAATATCCAAGCCTTCTATAAGTTGTGCAGCCCTTGTAGTATAGGGATGATGCAATAAGCGGGCCAAAAAAAAGATTCCCCAGAGGCTTATCTGGCCGAATCCCCAAACTTCCCACTCCACTCGAACCCGAGGGTGACCGAGAGTTCATCCCATTGAAACATTCTCTTTTCAGAGGTCTTAAGTAAAAGGCCATCGGGCGCCCATGACCCCTACGGCGAGATCTGCTCGAAGCGCACGCGACGGAGGTGATGTTCAACCTCCGCTCCGCCTGGATGGTGGTTTGGGCCATCTTGTTATGGTTCACCGTTGTTCATGGCATGCGAGACAGCCAAGTCAAAGAACTAAGGTTTCGCTAGCCCTGTTCCTCCTCAAAGGTCATCCAAATCAACTAATGCACCCCTGTCCTCCCGCAGACAAGAAACTGAGCGCATGTTCTTCCATGGCTTCGACAGCTATCTCCACTACGCGTTCCCCGAAGACGAATTACGTGCCCTGACATGCGGCCCTCTTGTTCGCGACGAGAAGAACCCGGAAAATAATGATGTGCTGGGGAATTATTCCTTGACCTTGATTGACAGCTTATCGACGTTGGCTATCCTGTCCTCGAGCCCGGACAGTGGGGAGCGAGCCTTGGCGCATTTCCAGGATGGTGTCGAGAGCTTTGTTAAGCTGTATGGCGATGGCTCGGACGGCCCTGCTGGTCAGGGTGAGAGGTCAAGGGGATTTGATCTGGATAGCAAGGTACAGTTGTTTGAAACTGTGATCCGGGGACTGGGTATGATTTCTTCTCATTCGTGGCTTGTCTATCACATGTGCTCGATTTCCGGAGTTTTATGTCCTACTGCTAACGTGGTTTAGGTGGATTGCTCAGCGCCCATCTTTTCGCCGTCGGCGAGCTACCCATCACCGGATATGAGCCATCGGAACGGGACGCTGCCTTCGCCAGCGCATGGGATAAAAGTATGTTTATAAAAAGTGACCAGGGCATTCGATGGGGCAATGGCTTTGTCTATGATGGCCAACTGCTTCGACTTGCGGTGGATCTGGCCAACCGTTTGCTCCCCGCATTCTATACAGAGACTGGCCTGCCTTACCCTCGGGTCAACCTACGCCACGGTATCCCGTTCTACGAGAATGCACCTCTAAATTCCAACGTCCGAGATGCTGATGGCAAGCGCAAATCCAAAAATGCGGCATCTGAGCCCGCTGAGACTTGTAGCGCCGGTGCAGGGAGCCTAGTCCTTGAACTGACCGTTTTGAGCCGACTCACTGGTGATGGGCGCTATGAAGACTTGGGTAAGAGGGCATTTTGGGCAGTCTGGAACCGCCGGAGTGACATCGGACTACTTGGGTTTGGCATTGATGTCGAGTCAGGAAAATGGGTCGGACCATGGGCCGGAGTAAGCAAGATTGCCATTTTGACCAGTACAAGCATAAACTAATTGTCAGTAGATCGGCGCCGGCATTGACAGCTTCTACGAGTATGCCGTCAAAGCTTATATTCTCCTGTCCGAGGGCGAGCGTCTGTCTTTCAACTCCAACAGCCCTTGGGCAGCATTGGACTCATACTATGCTCCTCTAACGGACTACCAGCATACCGCTGAGGCCTTCCGGCAAGTTTGGGAAGAATCGCATACCGCGATCAATCGCCACCTATTCCGAGGCGAAGGTTATCAACATCCCCACCTTATTGTAGGAGATGTGATCACCGGCGCCACACGAGCTTTCTGGATCGATAGCCTGAGCGCTTTCTATCCGGGAGTTCTTGCCCTGGATGGAAAGCTAGATGAAGCTATTCAGATTCATCTGCTGACTACAGCCATCTGGACACGCTACTCGGGCATCCCTGAGCGATGGAACGTAGCTACTGGTGACATCGACAACGGTATGCCGTGGTATGGAGGTCGGCCCGAGTTCATCGAGTCCAACTACTACATCTATCGGGCAACTCAAGATCCTTGGTATCTCCATGTCGGAGAGATGGTTCTTAGCGACCTCAAGCGGCGTTGCTGGACCAAGTGTGGCTGGGCTGGCATTCGAAATGTTCTGACTGGCGAGCTCATTGACCGGATGGAGAGTTTCTTCATTGGAGAGACTGCCAAATACCTCTACCTGCTGTTTGACCAGGACCATCCCTTGAACACCATCGATGCCCCCTGGGTTTTCAACACCGAAGGCCATCCTCTCATTATCCCGAGAAAAATGGCATCCGCGCCTCGCCAGCAGCACACCCAGCCTCAGGGCCAGGACACTGCCGAGGGAGTATGTCAAATTATTCCCTCTCCATTCTTCGGCGTGTCTTCTACTGCGTCCCGCTCGGACATCTTCCATGCTGCCACCTTGGCACGTCTGGATCTGATGCCTGATCGAGGGGCGGCCGCGAGTCCTATTTTGGAAGACTCGCCGGGACATCAAAGTGTGTTTGTGGCTGACCTTACATCACCAACCAATTACACATTCTACCCGTGGACACTGCCACCTCAGCTGGTCCCATTCGACGCCACCAGCGCACCCATGGCCGTTCGTCCCACGCTCGATATCTCATTCCCGTCACTCCCAGGCGGCGTAAACATGGGACCTGGAGCGCTGGAACGTGTCCGAGGCGGGTTACTTGTAAAAACAATTGGAGGACTCCGGTTGAGTATGGTTCAGGATGTACGGTTGGACACCCCAACGCCCACGGCTGGGGAGGAGGAAGACGGTTACCGGGTGCAGGTGATCAACAATGTGCCCTTAGGCAAAGATGAGAAGGTATACCTCTCTCGCCAAATCACCTTTGATGTCGTCGATCCGTATGATCCGAACTTCACCCGTGTTCGCGACAATGCCATGCTTGACCTCGTCATTGACGTTCTCCCAGAGCCCTCTCGCCGACGTAATGATTCGGCTCATCCACGAGATGAACAACCTCAACCAGAAAATCCTCACCCGCCAGAGCCCCATCTCGGAGGCCACAGCCCCGCCTCTTCTGTCGACGATGCCGCAATTGTTGACTCCCCGGACTCAACCGTAAGAGCCATGCTATCGTCTCTGGTGAACTCGGTATCGTCTTTGCTTCACAGCGAACCGACCGAACCTGCTCCACTCAGGTTGAGTCTCCCGGCGGCTATCTCTACCGGCATTGGGGCCAGCCCGCTTCCGGATATTGAAGATGCAGTCACTATTTCTTTGGTCGGCAGCCCATCTAAAGACCACCTGTCGTGGTCAAGTATATACTTCGCCGGCGAGCTCTGCGACGAGGGAATCCTCCGCGAGGTCGCTCATAGCCACGAAGTCCTTGTTATCAAACGTGGCGGCTGTACCTTTTCGGAAAAGCTCCGCAATATCCCCGCATACCGACCAACGCGATCCGCGCTGAAGCTAATTGTCGTCGTCTCATACGAAGATATGCCACCACCCGACTTCCATGGGCAGAAGAGAGAGTCAACGGGTCAACCCGGCTCTCGCTCTGCGCTCGCCGCCGTCCGTGCCGAGTCCACTCTCATCCGTCCTTATCTCGACGAAGCCCAAATGACACCCAGCGGCATTCCACGAAATTACCTCATCAGCATGGTCATGGTCGGTGGCGGAGATGAAACATACGAGCTCCTGCGCCATGCAAGCGGCATCGGAGTCAAGAGACGATATAGCATGCGCTCTCGCGGCGTCCCAATCACGAATTTACACATTGTTTGAAATATCTACAGAGATATAATATACCCGTTTGGAAGATTGTTGGATCATTTGTGGCGCGTCTGTTTTGTTTTGTTTTTGTTTTACAGATGTACATAGGTTTAGACTTGGATATAGTCAAAAAAAAAAAAAAACCAGCTCGTTGTAATCGAACTGCATTCATTTGACAATTTATATTCACCATCTCATTTCTATATACAACCTGCATTCCTCAACTCAGAGTCTCGACTTGCTCTCCATCTCAATCTGAACCTTCCTCCAAGACTCAATCCCCCTCCTAGCCGCCGTCTCGGGACTAACCCTCCCATCTTTCATTCTCCGATCAAAAACCTCCATAGAAACCCACCCCTTAAACCCAACCTCAACAATCCACGCCCTGGCAATCTCCACAACAGGCAAATACGCCCCAAACTCAAGCTCCAACGGAAAAGGCCTGGCATGCTTCGACCAAGTAAACTCCTTCGCCTCACCCGGCAACGCCCACGGATGCACCAACGAATAAGGCGTCTTAAAGCGCTCTGCATCAGAAAGCTGCACATAGAAAATCTTCTCCCGCGGACAATCCCGGACAAACCTCCTCAGCGAATCCCGCAGCTTCGTCTCCGCATCCATCTGCAATCCCGTTGGAGAAGCATTATCCCCCCACAACCGCGTCCCTTCATGGAATGTATCCATACATAGTCCGAAATTCGGACGGTCAACCCTCTGCACGATCGACAAGGCGCTTTCCCAGGTTGAGCAGTTTGTTCCCCATGACAAGGGTTCGTAGGCGATTGATACTATTGGCTTTGTGGAGCTGGCTAGGTCGGCTAGCTGCTGGAGGTCGGATATGATTATTTTTTCATCGCGGGAGCAGTCCACAGTGAAGATTGATGGGACTTGGAGGTATGGTGCATGTAGTAGACGGGCTATTTCCAGCCAGTGCTGGGCGAGAGCGAGTCTTTCTTTCAGGGGGGTTGTTGCGCCTTCGTAGTTCTCGAAGGGGGCTAGAGAGAGGACTTGGAGGTTTGTTTCTAGGCAAAGGGTGTGAATCTTTTGGGCCCCGGCTTGGATGGAGATGTTTTGGGTTTTGCTGTAGGTGAGAAGGTCGTTGTAGACTATTTCGATTCCTGCAATACCGGCTTGGGCTGCGGCGCGGATTTTGTGGTCGAGAGTGTGGCCTGGATATTGGCTTAGGGAGATGCTAGCGATTGCTAGCTTGTTGGGTGCCATTTTGGATATTCTCTTGCAATTGAGTATTCAATTTACTTCCTTGATATATCAAAGCGCGGAACTCGGTTTCCGGTGATCTACAACTCTCACAATTGGCCAGTCTGTGGATGTATCGGTCATTAATGACCGAGAAGTCATCGCAAGAGGTTTTTGGAACTATGAATCCGGGAGATATTCAAGAGGTAAGTGTCTTTTTTGCAAGCAATAGATACATCCCACATAGCCATTCATCAATCCAACATATTAGTCTCATATAGCCAAACGTATGTCCCTTGCAAGTTCAATCATTTCGATCGTTCTTCCATCCGTACTTATCCCAGTTTCGACTACCCGAATCCCTCACCGTAATGACCTTGATAAACTGAGGCCCTGTCTCTGAGGCTTTCTTTGCTCCCCCACGAGTCATCCAATCCTGCATGTTGAGGTTATACTGGCCTACCTCTTTTGGCATAGTACAGTGCTCCATGAATACCTACACCTAGCCATGGGTTTATATATTCAGACACATCTCTCTTTTTAAGATATTGCCCTGGAAATTAACCAGTTTTGAAACTCAAGTACATTGTCCAAGGTATACTTGGAAAAAGCTCGTACCTTTTAGAGAACTTGGAAAACGTCGGAACAAAAGGACCTTATTGCTCACTATATAATCGAGAATCTAGACTTCGCAAACTCTTCCTGAGAATTATCCTGTGTTAACGGAAACACCGAGTTTATGCTTGCGGGATTTGCGAACTACAGCCAAGTACTAGCCAAGTATAATCCTATTGGACTAAACATGAACTAATTTCCCCGGTCTATATATAGCTCGTGTTAATTGGGAGTATTTGAATTATTTTCAACCGGGATTAGCGATAAATGTCTGGACGTAGAGGTCCGTGACGGCTGCTATTTGCTCTGAAGATCTAGTCCCCTCTATAAGCCCTATTTTTCTCCTTGATTGGCTCGGGGAATTGAGAAACTAATATGTGCATACCGTTCATATCCAAGCGGGGAAGTACAGGCACATTAATTAGCGTATTGATTTGTTTTATTGTATGGAGTTCGTGCTTAGTGGCGTGTTCGTCTCCAGCCCAGCTCAGTCTCGCTCAGGCCGTGCTGTCAGCGATGTAGTTCCATTTCTTTCCCATTCGTAAACGCCAAAACCGTGTGGATACCAACTGTGATACATGGATTCCCTCAAAAGCATTTCCCCCGAACAGGATGGTGACCCTAGATCAGGCATTTTACCCATCGACATGATGAACATCCCTTCTCGGCGTTTTATTGCCTTTGGTATCATCGGGCTCGGCTTAACTGTTCCTAAGATAAATCCGAGTATATCCCGAGCAGATATGAGCCTGATAGGACGAAGCAATAGGAGCGTTCGGATAATCTACTGGTCGCTCTACTAAAAAGAACCTATGAGCTCGTAGAACATTGGAATAAACTCTGTTCCCGTTAAATTAGCCCATGTTCAGCCGTCTAGAACTAATAGAGCGTAGCAGTTCCCTGGCATATGGTTGAAGGACTAGTATAGAGAGCTAGAGAGTGAATTTGATCGAGGACCTTGGGATGAGAAGATACTTCTAGCTATTGGCTCGCTAATAATCAAGGTATATGCTTTTTATGGCTGTATATTTGCGATAAAGTATTCAAGAAGCTTCATTTCCAAGATAGTTAGCTAATAATTTACGTAGAACTTGATCGTAAAGCGCCAAACCGGAGCTAGGCTTCTCCATACTTCTACTCTTGACTTATTCCCTACCCCTTCTCATCTCTATTCATCTAAATTCTTCCACGATAACCACCTCATCGCCCGAAACAATGCTCTTCAACCCAACTCTCGAACCAGCAGAAAGACACACCGAACCCCTCCCAACACCCACCCCACCATCCACAAAACCACCCCAATATCCCAAATACCTCTACTTCGCCTATGGCTCCAACCTCTCCCCAGCCCAGATGAAATCCCGCTGTCGCATAAACCCCACCCACTCCGCCATCCCACTAGCTATCGCAACTCTCCCACACTGGCGCTGGCTGATCTGCGAAGCGGGTTACGCAAACGTCCTCCCACGGCCGGGTCTGCGCGTCGCAAATCAAGACTCCGAGACTGCGCATAGGATTCCCGTTTCCGGGGCGGAAGACGCGGTCTACGGTGTTCTTTACCAGATGGATATTGGCGACGAGAGGATTCTGGATGGCTATGAGGGCGTTGATACATGTGCTGCTCGTGCGAAGGCTGGGGATGGTGTGCCCGTTTCAGTTAGGCCTAAGGTACAGGGAAATGGGTCTTATAATAAGTGGTTTGTTGAGGCGGACGTTGTGAAGTGGTTGGATGGGGAGGGGGTTAGGGCGGGGGTTAGGGCGGGGCTTGAGGATAAGGAGGGAAAGGTGCCGGTTTTGGTTTATGTTGATGAGAACTGCGTTAAGCTTGCTGGGCCAAAGTTTGAGTACATTGCGAGGATGAATCGGGCTATTCGGGAGTCTGTGGATTTGGGGGTTCCCATGGAATGGGTGGAGGAGGTTATGAGAAAGTTCATTCCTAAAGAGTGAAATACTAGATTGGAGATTGGTAAGATGCATTTAGATATCATTGGTCAGGTCCAATTGCTAGAAAGCTACTCTATTAACATAAATGTGATTCGTCAGTCTATACACATATCAAGTTGCATTGATGGAAGCTATTTGTCTATATTGGATGTTATCCAGGCAGCTCTGCAGCTGTGGCGGGTGCCGTCGACCAGCGAAACGAGACTCCAGACTCGAAGTTCGAGTAAATTGTTTGAGGCCCGGAAGGAGCGGGTGACGCTCACCGCAATATCGGGTGTGATCGGACTTTTGAAAGGATGGTGTCATTATAATCGGCACTTGAGATCGTCGCAGAATGGAAGGGGTTTTTTTTATGCGGTGTATAATTAAGCCTGGCCAGACAGGAGAGTGTAAACCGGCGCGGGGAGCTTGTCGCGTCCGTGAAGGAACTCCAGCTCGAGGAGGAAGATGAAGCCGAGGAGCTCGCCGCCCATCTTCTGGATCAGCTCACCACCGGCCTTGGCAGAGCCACCTAAAAATAGTTAGTAAATGAAGTATCCACTGGTTTCTTCGTATCACATACCAGTAGCAATAATGTCATCAATAACAAGGACCTTCTGGCCGGGCTTGATGGAATCGGACTGCATCTGGAAGAAATCCTGACCATACTCCTTCTCGTAGCCCTGGGTCTCGCAAGGACCGGGAAGCTTGCCCTGCTTGCGCACGGGGACGAAGCTGGCACCCAGACGCAGCGCCAGACTGGGACCCATCAGGAAGCCACGGGCCTCGAGGCCGACAATGACATCAGGCTTCTGGTCGTAGTTGGCGAGAACGTGAAGTTCCAAGGAGCGGATCAGAGCCTCGTGCAAACTAGGATCGGCGAAAATGGGCAGGATATCCTCGAACAAAATTCCCGGAGAGGGGAAATCCGGGAACTGGCGCAGAGCGCCGCGCAGTCTTACCTTAAGACTGGCGAGTTCGGCGGCGCTGGTGGCATCGGAGGCGGGGAGTCCGACTTTGGAGGCATCTGGGAGAGTGGAGGACATGATGGAAGAGAAGAGAAAGGGGGGGGGGGAGGCTTAGAAGTAAAGTAAAAAAGACCAGAAAATCTTTAGGAGGGGAAAAAAAAAAGGAAATGGTAAAATTACAGATAAGCAGATAATGGGGTTTTTTTGCCCCTCCGGTCTAGATCGTTACCCGTTTTTTTGGTTTTGTATATTTTATATACATATATACCTATGTGCTTTGTATATGTATTTATGTCTTTATATGCTATAGCATATATTAGTATTCACTACAGCTCTTTATATCAATTATACCATATGCTGTAGGTCCAGATCAGCGCTCAGATCAGATAAAATACTAAAATACAATGTATATTCTTCTAGAACACATGAAAGAATATACTAGTTTACTATACTGACTAGTTATAGTTACTTACTATACTCGTACAGAGTAGTTCTTAAATATGGCCCAACCCGGTTGGGATCTACGAGACCCTAATTGATTAGCCCCGTAAACTAAAGTGCTCAGTCCCCTCATCGTCAGGGACGAATTGTGTCGCAAACTGAAACCATTCACTCGTCATCCCTTGCACTGTGTTCCAGTTCCCCAGAAGCCTAGACCGTTGGACTGCAACCCGGGGTTTATGGTTACCTTAAGAGGTCCAGAACAGCAGGCAGAACCCGACTAGAGACTAACAAGATATGTTCATAAATGACTCACCCTGGAATGACATTGGATCAGACCATCTTTCAACACCCTGTGGACTTGACACATCGTACGCCATTACACCTGGCCCTGGCCAATGGAATGTCTCAAGCCACGACGTGATCTGAAACTCATCACAGTGGCTTTACAGGAAACATACATGCGTGCTGCATACCGGGATGTCTGTTGTGCAGATAGTGGGGGGGGGGGGGGTTTTGTCCGTTTGTACTCCGTAATCATAATGATTCGTCGTTTGGGCTAGAAAAGAAAAAAGGAACAAAGGTACGAAAGAAAGAAAAAAAGAGTCCCCTTGTGGGAAAATCACGATTAATTAAATTACCATATAGTTAGTTCCAAGCAAAATAAAAAAGAACAAAAAAATGAAATCTCAGGTTTGGTTTTTAGGAATAGCCGAACGCGGGGGTCGAACCCGCAGCCTTAAGATTAAGAGTCTTACGCTCTACCGATTGAGCTAGCCCGGCCGGGCTGTTGGAAGAGACTGCAATATAGTGCTACATAAGCCTAAAATAGTGTCCAAGTGTAGAGTTGATTGTGGTTGGATTAACCTTGAAAGCCGAGATTGTTGTGTAATATCATATTTTATACCTATTCTTGCTTTTTTCTAAAATCGTCCACTTGTCTTTATTATTAGTATCCTTTTTCATGACATTTCTATTTTACCTTGGACTACCCAGTACATATATATATATATATACTACCCTCCAACTGACTAGCGTTGATTTTAGGAAATTATAGACATACTCACCGATTCACACCATGTATCACACAGAAACCAGAGTAGATACCGAAAAACAATAACAATAGAATGATCTGTTTTTTGAAGTACATCCTTGGATACTTCTCAGGTAGGCTGGTTGACTGTACTGACTCATTGTCGCATAGTTGTACTTCACTTGACAATGTGAACCCTCATCATACAGGCTACTAACACACTGTAACCTGTATGTACCTGCATCTAGCCATTCCATTCAATGTAAGGAAAGTAGATCTATCTGCATGTACATCGAAGTATACTCGGCCTTGGCCCAAGCCTAAAGTGGGATAGCTCCTCACATGACAAGCACGGACCACCTCGCTTCAAGTTTTTCCGGCCACCCCGTCGCTATAAATCTACCTGTTTTCCTCTTTTCCATCTCTCATGCTTTTGAAGTCTGAGCCTCAACAGGCCATTTCCATCTCAGATTAATTCTTTCTGATATCTTGTAATACATTTGCTCATGTCACCTGCCGTGATTGCCGAGATGCAGCCGGATCTGCACCATGATCAGCTTGAGGCCGTGGGCAAAGCTTTCGATGCGCTCCTACTAACAGTGTACCAGCTGACTCACAGACAAAATGAGCTGTTACAGCACATGGATAATGTCTTCAAAGAGGTAAATACACACCCTTTCCCTACTCTTTCCTTTCTGCCTCCGCATCCCGGTCTCGCATGACGAAGAAAAGCTCTAGATCAGGAGTCACTTTTGTGGCGATGACGGATTAACATGTATTATCTGATTGAGACCATGACTGCCTCGCTGTTATGCATTTTACAAGATGAACATTGCTAACTTTGTATCTTGCAGTACACAGATGTGATAGAAATTCTGCCTTCTCAAGATAGACATCATGCACAAGACGTTCAATTCAAGCTGTTTGCTCAGCAGGAAGAATATCGTCAGGGCCTCGTACACAGCAAGCCTCGAGTGGCGGAACAACCTTTGAATTCCATGGATGTAATCAAGACCCTCGTTGCACATCAAAATGTAGACGAAAATACTTTCTCGGCCATCAAGAACGGAGTCAAAGGGTGCAAAGCTCTGCTCCGTTCTCAAGATAGCCTCTCCCAAATATCCTCAAACTCGTGCATCCTCGCGCAAGCACCGGCTCCAGCAATCGCGCTGGAGAAGGACTTCACAACGAATGGCACCCAGGGAAATTTGCAATGCCCCTTTTCCAAACCGAATAAGATGAAGAGCACAAATGGCAGCGAGGTCCCCAGTGGGAAGGACTCTGCGCCAAAGATCCAGATCGAAGCCATCTGCGGCCACGAGCATCTGGACCCTATCAAGGCCGAACAAGACGAACGACGCTCTAGCCACACCCCATCAGCCCCGTCATCAAAAGGAGGATGCCCCGTCTCCCGATGCCCGATCCGATTCCTCGATCAACACTCCCCCGAAGAAATTGCCGAATACGTCGAACGACACAAACATGAGATCCCCCGCAGCCACGCAATTTGCGTCAAGCGCTATCAACGAAACCCACAGGACATGAGACAACTGGACGCCAAATACGGTGGCCTGACAAGCATGATTGCTGGCTTAGGTGTCAAGCACCAAGCCTTCCTGCCTGACTGTCAGACCAACGGCGAAGGCCACTCCTCGCATTCTGCCTCGACCGAACGTGTTGAGAAATGGGCCGACAACGTGGACCATAATACACCCATCGCCGAGATCGAGGAGAAGAATGAGGACGATAACCGCCAGAGTCACTTTGACCGTCCCCTGCGTGAAGTCCGCGTGGGTGAATCCCCAAGCAGGCCCTGGGGCATTTCGGTCCCCGTCACACATCTACCTCCTACCTCAGCGCCGTTCTCTGGTTCAGCGTCTATCACTACATCCGCCGATCCTCAAGCCGACAAGCCTGATAAACCCACCGATGCCAAGGTCCTTGATGCTAAGCCTGCCGGCGGTTGTCCATTCGGCCACGGCAAACCAAAGCCCGAAGCAGAAACACATGGCAGTGGTGAAAGGCACAAGGACAAAAATGTTGCTACGCCAGAAAAACCTGGTTGTCCATTCGGTCACAACAAACCAAAGGCCGAAGTTGCAAAGCCTGAGACTGAGGCCCCCTGGGGTGATGACTGGCCGAAGACCTGGACCAAGAAGCAGGCCGTCACAGACCAAGTCACAGATCAAGCACCTGCCCCCGAGGCTGCTCGTGCTCCAGTTGCTCCTGTGAGCGAGGAATCGACTACGAAACCCGACATCCCCTCAACATTCTCAACCCCCTCCCACATCACATTCAATGGCCCTGTTTTCCTCGGGTACTCTGCCGAGGAGACTGCCAGCCTATTGCAGCAGCTCGGCAACCTAGGCAAATCATGACTGCGAAGAATCATCTTTTGTACAGTATGTTCATGGAAGGCGTAGGGCTCTTTAAACGCATCACGACGAAACGAATTAATTTCCTCTTCTTATCTTTAGCAAGCATTGTCATTGTACCCCAATTGAATCCTACTTTAATACAATTCCAAAATCCAATATAAGAAGTATAACAGTTATAATAACAAGATCTGCAATATAAAGTAAAAGAATGACTTCATCGGGGAGCATCGTCGCTCTCCGAGGGAAACTTGCACAGAGCGGGGCACCTTATCATCTTCCTATATATAGCCTCTCTCTCTCTCTCTCTCTCTCTCGATGCTGCGAACTACTCCTCGTCTTCTATCTCTATCTCGAATCCTCCGTCCTTCAATCCAATTACCTTCTCCCATAATGTCTGCCAACATGTCCATCATCTCCGCTAAGGATGCCTGCCCTCGTAAGTCCAAGTTCATGGTTTCTCCCTTGCTTTCTTAGAGAAAGCAGACTCAATTACAGAAAAACAAAACAAACACCAATATCTAACTCGTTTCTCCCGTAGCTGCCGGCCCTTACGTACGTCGTCCTTCCCTCCATCTGCATCTGCAGCTCCATCTCCATCTACCTCAAGAGCTACCCCTCCACACCAGACCAATCCACCCCAATCCACCAGCAGCGTTCCACACAACTACACATATCGTGTAGACTATAAAAGAACCACCTAACAAACCAATCACAGTCCCAGGCCATTCGCGCCAACGGCCAGATCTTCGTCTCCGGCCAGATCCCCGCCGACGCCTCCGCCAACTTGATCGAAGGCAACATCGGCGCCAAGACACAGGTTTGCTGCGATAATATCAAGGCTATCCTGACCGCCGCTGGTTCCAGCGTGGACAAGATTGTCAAGGTCAACGTATGTGTTTCCCCCCCGGCTTTGTTATTGTGGTGTTTCTGTTTTCGGCTTTGCCAGGGAGAAGTATACACAAGCTATGAGGAGGACGCTTTGCTGATTTTTGATTTCTTTTTCAGGTCTTCCTGACTGATATGGCCAACTTCGCCGAGATGAACGCTACTTACGAGAAGTTCTTCGTTCACAAGCCTGCTCGTAGCTGTGTTGCTGTTCACCAGCTGCCCAAGGGTGTGCCCGTTGAGATTGAGTGCATTGCTCTGGAGTAGATTATCTAGTCTTACTTCTATTTGAGTCAATGAAAACAATATAAAAAAACCAGTTTAGAATAAGAACAAGAATGTGATTGAATTCGATCGAGTTATGTTGCACAAATCTTCGGGGAAGTTTTCTTCATCTTATCTTGATTACTTCTATTTCCAATCTCGTTTCTCTTGAGGAACATATACGCGCGAGTACAAGCAGATGCCAAATTGGGAATCATAAGAGTCAGGGTTCATGCGCAATGAGACAGAATGCAAGAGACGAAGGAGATAGAGAAGAAGAAAAAAGACAACATCGCTGGCTTGATGTAATGAAAATAAGAAAAATAACAGTCAAAAGGTAAGATAACAAGACAGCTTGCTAGATAGGTGCACATTCACCTTCCGCGGGTAATGATACCGCTCATGCGGCTTCCAGCACCTGCCATCAAGCTCTGCTTCACGATAGCATCGGCAGCAGCAGCAGCGGCAAGTCTTTCCTTCTGACGGCTACGATCGCGGAGATAGCCGACAGCTTCGGGGCGCATACGAAGAATGCGTAGGATCATGTCGTCATTAGGATCAGCCTGCGCCTCCCGTCGCTTCTCTTCCTTGGCCTTCTTCATAGTGCCTAAGTTGCGGGAAAGCATGATGCTCTTGGCGCGATGGGCAGCAGGAAGACCCAAGCCGCCGTAGCCGGCACCTGTGGCACCGAGGTGGGCAGGCGCGGAGGTGCGATTGCGGTTCGCTTGTTGGCGGTTGACAGTCGCCGAGGCCATGCGTTCGGAGGTGCGAATGAGGTGCTCCGTTGGTTCGAAGTAGAAGAAATTTAGAGACTGGATTTCATGATATTTGGGTGATTTCAGGATATCGATTGGGACGCCGTTTGCTTCGCCGGTTTCGTCGTCAACCGCATGGAAGAAGTTCAATAGTAGCACGAGCCAGCGCGATACGATGTCGACTTCTTGAATTGTTAATGGCTTCTGATGGGATGGCTTATCCGACAGAGGTGGCACGAGTAGACTCTCGATGGTGGCAAGCACTTCCTTCCATAGGCGAGCCATCACCATCTTCATGGCTTCGGGTGTGAGAGTTTTGTTCATGATGGCGAAGTTGTCATTGAAGTAATTGAACAGAGGAGTCAGTGCATTCTCAACGTCTGCCGGGGTGGGTCCAGTAGGAGCTGGCTGTGCTCGGTTGCGATTCAAGAAACTAGAGACACTAGACATACTGAGTCCACGAGAGAGAAGAGATTTCAGCGTTCGACGAGAAAGACAGTGACTGATGTATGCTGAAAGCTTCTCGGTGATCTTCCGAGTCATATCCCTTTCAGTCCGTTTGAGTGTACGGAAAGCCTTGCCGAAGTAGAACTGGATGTCATCTCGCTCGCCTTCCATACTAACTCGGAGCAGAAGCCGACCCTGGGTATCCAGGTCGAGCCAATACTCTCTTGGCAAAAAGTCACTGAAGTGTACAGGATCCAACTTGATCGACGTGCGACCAACGTAGTCGTGGTCGCCCACTGCATCCCAGTCCCAGATGGTAGCGATGATATTCAGAGGGCCCTGTGTAGTGAGATCCACTGCATCCTCCCATCGGGGATTAAGATTATTGTAGATGATGCGGGTTTTGGCGATTCTTTTCTGATATTCATCTGTCAAGACGACATAGGGATCGCTGCCACCACCAATGTCGCATGCTTTCAAGTCCTCTGCCTCCACTACCTTGATTGTAAAGACATAGGTGGTAGACTTGCGGACCTTCTTGAGCTGCGGTGGAGTATTTCTTGCAATGACTTCTGCGCACGCGTCGACATTGATGTCATGTTCGAGTTTGTCGAGTTGAGCAAGTGCGTACTCAATATTGTTCAGTTTCACCAGGGACTATGGAAAATGTTAGCCGCAAATATTTACCTAGTTGAAATAAGAACATACCTCTGACGAGAATTGGAAGGGCTCGATTTTATCCTTGTTTGTCCAGGTGTCTTTAGCGAACTGCATCAGTTTTTCCTGGGTGGTTTGATTCAATGCTGCCTCCTGTTCGGGGGTGAGACGATCCATCTCCCGCGTGAACATCTTCTCCAATGAATCACAGTACGTTGCCACACCTTTCCCAATTGAATTAGAGAGATGCGTCATGAACTTCGCATATTGAAGATCATCGTCCCACTCCAGCTGCACCATATTTTCAACAACTTGGTTGAAAGATCGGAAAATGTCAATAACTGACACACTGTGACGATCGTCTTCAGGCGCAAGCTCTGTCGTTCCATCTGCACGAACGGCGAATGCATCTTGTCTTGTAGCTTGGCTGACCCAATCCATGATCTTTTGATCAGTTAGACGAAGCCATCTCCAGACGAAATCCTGAAGGAGATCCTCCACATGGAATGGGAATTGAGCACTAAATTGAGTTAGCTAATTCCATAGGAACCGAAGGGAGGCAAAGGAGAGCTTACTCCTCATGGGTGTTATGGAACAACCGTCTGACAGTAGCTAGCTGCTTATATAGGTCGAAGCCATCTTCAATAGCGATCTCCTCGCCCCTCGCTTTTGCCTGCTCGATAATCCTGATGACCATTTCATGTGCATCCTCGGCGAACATGGGAAGTACATTGTGGCACAAGGTGGTATAGGGATTAACACTATTCGGAAATTAGAGACTGATTAACTAGACAGACGAGAAAGGAAGAACCCACCCCATGATCTCCGGGTTATTGCGGTAGCGTTTCTGGATCTTTAACGCAAGCTTTGAGATTGCATCGCCAAGCTGAATGACATGGTCGGGATCCCAAGCCTCTTGTTCCATGGGGATTAGCTGACTGAGAAGGCTTTGATACTTCGTTGTTGCTTTTTGGGCAAGACCCTCTTGCACATACGCGCTGAATCGATCAATGTCTTCAGGATCCTCAATGTAATTGGGATCCATCTGGACGTGGGTCTCAAGAATGTACATAACTGGACCGAGTGGGCGTGGCTTTGCCTCAAAGCAGTCCATCATAGCCTCATATAGCTCCCGAAGCAAAGCCTCGTGAAGTTTGGACAGCAGCATTTGCATCGTTTGATGATCATGTACGGTCCATCGTCGCCGATCAAAGACCGCGGAAGCCACAAAGCTACTGCGTTTGCGGTTCTCGCCCGAAGGCACTTCTTTCACAAAAGTAAATGCCGAGTCAAGGGTAGTAAGATCAATTTCATTGTCGACAAATTTAGCTTGAGCTACCTCAAGGAACAGCACGACCCGGGAGAAGGTGGGAATCCGCCAGCGGAGACATATCTCATTAAGCATTTCCGTGGACTGCTTCGAAAGTATTTTCATTGAGGGCACGTCGGATGTGGCCTGCGAAGCTTCAAGTTCCCGGTCCCGCAGATCATAGGTCAAGGTCTGGGCCAGGATGAATTTGTACAAAGACCTAGGGTCAGACGGTATGAATGTGTATATATCGGATTCATCTGACTCTTCTAGAGAAAGCCCATTCAAATCAACAGGCTGATCAATGATATAAGATGTTCTGTCAGTCCGACCAGACGATGTCCTTGATAAGTCGGGGTTCTCGTGGGGACTCGAATTGAATTGGGGGAGAGACCCGGGGGTGCTCTTGGCCAATTCGGGGTTGGATTGCATAATTGCGAGCATCATCTGTGAGAGATCAGGGCCTTCGCTCTTTTTCCAGCCATCATACCCCTCGTCCGACTCAAAATCATCTCTTGACAAGGTTTTGTGTGTCTGGAGGTTCAAATGGGCTTGATAAGTCTTTAGGTCCTGCAAAGCGGCCTTTTCGGTCCAGGTGGACTTGTGCTTATCAATTTCAGACTGTGCTTCCGATGTGGTCTTCCCAAAGATCTTGGCCACATGTTGCACCAGGGGCATATCCC